AGAGGACATACCGAAGACTGCTTTCAGGACCCGATATGGACACTATGAATATTTGGTTATGCCATTTGGTGTGACTAATGCTCCTGCGATATTCATGGATTACATGAATAGGATCTTTCATCCATATTTGGATAAGTTTGTGGTAGTATTTATTGATGACATTTTGATTTATTCTAAGACCAAGGAAGAACATGCAGAACATCTCCAAGTAGTGTTGGAAGTTTTGAAGGAGAAACAGTTGTATGCTAAGTTGGAAAAGTGTGAGTTTTGGTTGGAGAAGGTGAGTTATTTAGGTCATGTGATTAATAAAGATGGCATTTCGTAGATCCGATGAAAGTGGAAATTGTATTGCAATGGGAAAGACCAAAGAGTATTATCGAGATTCGTAGCTTTTTGGGTCTAGTCTGGTTATTATAGGAGATTCATTGAGGGATTCTCAAAGATAGCCTTACCTTTGACCAAGTTGACTCATAAAGGACAACTCTTTGTATGGACGAGTCGAGTGTGAGGAGAATTTTCAAAAGTTGAAAGATAAATTGACTTCTGCTCCAGTATTGATACTTCCAAACCCTCATGAGAATTTTGAAGTGTATTATGATGCATCGAAGCAAGGGTTAGGATGTGTATTAATGCAGAATAGAAATGTAGTGGCATATGCTTCAAGGCAGTTGAGACCGCATGAAGTAAATTACCCTACACATGATCTTGAGTTGGCAGTTGTGGTGTTTGCATTGAAGATTTGGAGACACTATCTATACGGTGCAAGATTTGAAGTTTTCAGTGACCATAAGAGTCTTAAGTATTTATTTGATCAAAAAGAGTTGAATATGAGGTAATGTCGGTGGACAGAATTTTTGAAGGACTATGACTTTGAACTTCATTATCACCCCGGGAAAGCCAATGTAGTGGCAGATGCTTTAAGCCAAAAGTCTTTGTATATGTCAGCAATGATGGTCAGAGAATTGGACTTGGTGGAAAAATTGAGAGATTTGAATTTAGCTTTGGAGATAACTCCCAAAAGTTTTAAGTTTGGAACTTTGAAGATAACTAGCAATTTTCTTGAACAAGTTAAGGCAGCACAATTAACAGATGAATATTTGCAAGGTAAGAAGACTTTGGTATCTCAAGGAAAATAAAACGATTTTCAGGAAGACACAGGTGGAATTTTGATATTCAGAGATCGAATTTGTATTCCGCAAGATGATGAAATCAAGAAGATGATTTTAGAGGAAGCCCATAAGAGTAAGTTGAGTATTCACCCAGGAACTACCAAGATGTACCAAGATTTGAAGAAGTTATTTTGGTGGTCGAGAATGAAAAGATCAAGTGGCGAGTACGTAGCATCTTGTTTGGTATGTCGAAAGTAAAGGTTGAACATCAAAGGTCCACGGGAATGTTACAATCTTTGGATATCCCAGAATGGAAATGGGACAAGCATAGCAATGGATTTCGTAATCTGGATTGCCAAGAACTCCTACAAGATATGATGCAATTTGGGTAATTATTGACAGATTGACCAAGTCAAGACATTTTCTACCTATCAACATTCGTTATTCATTGGAAAAATTGACACAAGTATATCTTAAGGAGATAGTGAGGTTACACGGCGTACCTTCAAGTATTGTATTTGACGGAGATCCACGTTTTACTTCCAAGTTTTGGGGAAGTTTGCAACAAGCATTAGGGATAAAGCTTCGATTGAGTTCAGCTTATCATCCGCAGACGGATGGACAGTCAGAAAGAACAATTCAATCTCTTGAAGACCTTCTACGAGCTTGCATTATGGAATTCAAAGATACTTGGGACAAGTCTCTGCATTTGATTGAATTCACCTACAATAATAGTTTTCATACAAGTATTGGGATGACACCATATGAAGCTCTTTATGGAAGGAAGTGTAGGACACCTTTATGCCTGGTATGACTCGTGAGAGAATCTTATTTTGGGACCGTAAATTGTGCAACAAACTACCGATAAAGTGAAGATCATTCAAGAAAAGATGAAGATAGCACAGAGTAGACAAAAGAGTTATTATGACAAGAGGAGAAAGTCGTTGGAATTTGAAGAGGGTGACCATGTATTCCTGAGAGTTACGCCTACTACTGAAGTTGGAAGAGCTCTGAAATCTCGAAAATTCACCCCAAAATTTATTGGTCCTTACCAAATTCTGAAAAAGATTGGCCTTGTGGCTTATCAAATAGCCTTACCTCCAATTCTTTCAAACCTCCATAATGTTTTTCATGTCTCACAACTCATAAAGTATATTTCTGATCCTTCTCACATCATTGAACTCGATACAGTACAATTGAAGGATAATCTAACCTATGAAGCACCACTTGCGTGTATTGTGGATCAAAGGATGAAACACTTACATGGAAAAGATATACCTCTAGTTAAGATCGTATGGAGTGGAATAGGTGATGAAGATGCAACGTGGGAGTTAGAGAGCAAAATGAGGGAATCTCACCCTCATCTTTTCCCATAAGGTAAGCAAATTTCGAGGACGAAATTTTTTTTTAAAGTGGGGGAGAATTATAACATCCTAATTTTCAGTACCTCTACAACTTTTGTCAAAATTTTATAAATTAAATTATTAGGAATTGGGGAAAGTGACTATAGAGTTTTATGTTTGTTAGATTATTTGTGATTTTTTGGAAATTTTCTCGAATTAAAAAAATAAAATAAAATAATAATATATCTTAAAAAAAATGATTTTGACTTTTTAAAAAACACATTTCTCTCTCTCGTCTTCCGTAAGTTCTTCCCTTCTCTCATTTTTCTCACTTTCTCTCAAACCCTTCCCACTTTGAAGTTTGATTTTGAGAGGGAAATATTGATTTTCTTGAGAAAGTCCAAGAGGTAAGTTTGTTTCTCTCAATCTTCTCTACATTTCTATGGTTTCATTTTTCAAAACGGTGCATTTTCAAAAAATTTCCTCACTTGGTTAAGCTTGAATGGGAGTAGAAAGAGTGTTATTGTAGGTTTTACACCTAGGACACTAGAATAATACTTAGAATTGAGGATTATAAATGATTAAGCTAAAAACCTTAAGCACCCTAATTCGTAAGTCACTGTTCATTGAATTTTGGGACGTTTGTGAACAGAATTAGGAATTGGTATCTTCATAAAAGTTGTAGCCCTTTAAGTTATAAAAATTTAGAAACTTCTTTCACATCAAACGGATATTTGTAGCTCAAGTTATGTTCATTTTACTGTCAAGTGTTATAGCTGTGAAGTTAAGAGGTTGCCCTGTTTCAACAGCCTCGGTTTTTGAATTACTGGGATTGATATGTGTGAAATTAGGACTTGATTCCTTAATAAAAGTTGTAGGAAATTATATTTCAGAAATTTAGAAATTTTTTTCATGTCAATAGCTTATGTGTAGCATGAGTTATAGTCAAATTACCAAGGCATGTTCAGAGTGTTATTGTAGTTGAGCCATGTTGGAAACAACCACTGTAAACTGAAAAACTGCATTTATTCTACAGGGTATTTGAATTTATTTCCTTCATCAATATTGTAGGTAATTAAGTTATTGAAATTTTTGCTCTTACCTCATGCCAAAACAACTTATATAACTCTAAAAAATTCTGAAATACTGAACCTTGTCCATATTTGTTATTAGGATTCTTCCTACTCTAAGTGTATTACTTCCATTACTCTCTTCTACTTGTATTAATTCCATTAGCATCAATTTAGGCCCTAGAAATGATTTTATAACTCAAAGAACCATAGTCTTGAATTTTAGAATTTTAGGCTATGAAGGAGGTGAGATTTTAGAGATATAATATGGTTGGAATTAAGGATTTAATTGGGGTATTTAATTGGCATGTAGGAGGCTACTTAGATGTGTAAAGAGGAGACCTAAAGACTTGATAGATTATTTGATCAAGAATTACTTTTCACCAAGTTACAACATAAGGTAAGGGGTAGGATAACTTTTATAATTCACTTTTACTTGAAATAGCATTGAGAAGAAGTCCCTTTACTTCTAAGCTAATTAGAAATTTATTTGGAATTATTTGAATGCTATTTCTATTTTTATGAATTTTTAAAGTTTTAAGATTATGTGAATTTTATGGCTTCTAAATGGAGCAACTTGAATGTATGGAACCTTGTATGATTATAAGGCATCCATGAATGTTGTTTGAATCGATTGTTTAATCATTAGTAATTTTATATGATTTATTGATGAATTTAGATTGTGAATTAGCCTATTTCTATGTTTAGTATTATGATAATTGCTTTAAATTGATTATTGAGATATATTGTATGTATGTTATGAAACATGATAAGTAGAAAATTATTGTGAAATGTTTTTGTTAAGATGGATTAGCATATAGAATTGCATTGTATAATTTGGTGGAATGGAGGAAAGGTGTGAGAAATGAACTATGTGAGAAAGAAAACTATTTTTTTATATATATTAAATTGAATTTTATAATTTAATTATGAAGTGAATTTTTATATTTTTATTTAATTAATAAATATTTTTCAAAAGTATTGGAATAATTTTGATCTAGGAGAAAACAAGTAATTGTAAGTGAAAATGAATTTTTAATAATTTTGAGGAAATTATTTGCAATTATTATTATTATTTAAGAAAAATAAATTAAAATTGAGAAAATTATGATTTTGAGTGATGATGAATATGATGAGGTGGAAGGATGGTTTGGTGAAAAGTAGAAGTGTTCTGGGCTGTTTTTGGTTATTTTGCAGGTGTTAAAAAATTTTGGGAATGTCCGATTTACAGGGGAAACTTTGTCAGATTTTTCTTAAGAAATAACCTAGTATTATTTTGAAGAAGTTAAGATGTGATTTATATATAATGGGGTGAAACAAATTTGAAAGAGTGTGAAGAAGTTATGATAAGTCATGCATCATGTTCATGAGTCGGAGATTGAGTTATGAGGAGGATATGGAAAATCGTGGTCTGGCTCTATGCTAACCTCTGGGATGATTAAGTGTGATCGAGCTCATATGTGGCTCAGGCTCGCTACCTAAGCTGTGAGACTCTCACTACCAAGCTTGATTATCCTGACTAAAGCCCCAGGGTTACTCATGATCAGTTGAGTTGGACAAGTAATTATGAGTATACTACCGCGAGGCGGTGAGAGGTTCCAGTGAAACTCCTGATCCTTCTCCAAAAAAAACAAAAAAAACAAAAAACAAAAAACAAAAAGAGAAAAGAGAAAGTGGTTTTGGGATCCCCATTGTCTTGCATACTAGGATGTGTCCTAGAAAAGATTAGTGGATACATTGCATTCATAATATCATATCATTTGTGTGTTGATTACTAGAATGTTTGTATGTGTAATTTCTAATTAACTCAATGTTATTTGCATGCTCTAAGTGAATATAAAGTTGTCTTACCCTTTCTGTGCATGTATTGTTATTATGAAATGTTTGCATAGGTGACGTTGAACACAACTCATCCCCGGTATCATCTCCAAGTAATGTTTAAATACGATCACTGCAAGTACTAAGTAGAGGACTTGATCGGACACCACTACAGTGCTACAAGAGATATTTCATTTTAGTGGACGTACGAAATATATCTCTTCTTTAGTTAGGTTGTATAGTTAGTTTGTCTAGTTAGTTTGTTTGCTCTGATCTTGTGAACCCTTGTTAGGTGTATTTTGGGATGACTTTGTGTATATTTACTATCTAGTTATACTTGATACTTATGAATGATATGTATATTAATCACTAAGTGTATGTTCTAATTATTGTGTACCTTACTTCTACAAGAGTGTATTGGTAATCAAATACTAAGAGGAACCAATAATAATTAATAAATCATAATAAAGTGAATGTTGGTATTAAAGGTGTCACAATCTACTTCTTCGAATACCTAATTATACTTGAGATCTAAGATGGAAAGAAATTGAGTCATCTAACTCTATTTAGACCTCAGACCAACCTTAGACACCTTTTTTTTTTTTTTACTTTTGGCTCATGACTTCTAAAGTAATAACAATCACCACCATGAAGGAGGAGAAGTTATCTTCTCCGTAAAAGAAGACTTTGATAAACTTCTTTTTTCTAGTACACTTATGATCAATAGGGTGAACTTCACTATCACCAACTAATGGCTCAACATAAATAACATGATTAAAGTCATTAGAAAAATCAAAATCAGAAACATATATTAAGATAATTAAATAATTAAATATAGCCAAGAAGATGAAAGAAGATTTTAAAAAAGAAATGCAATAGAAAAGAGAACACAAATGGTACATTAATATAAATTATTCGAATTTATACAGTTACCTAAACCTAGTTTTTAAGAAAAAAAATCTTATGAAGATGTATTAATTGATAACATATCATTTGTAAAATCCCTCGTATAAAATAAGTAAAAAATAAAATAAAAAAATCATTAACAAAATTCACACCAACTTAAGTAAAATCCACTTTCAAATATGAGCTCATGAATGTCTTACAACTTATTAATCAACTCATTTGTTTACACCTATATTAGACTTTGAATTTAGGAACTTATATATCTATTGAGATTTTCACGTTAATTACATTAAATAAAATTATTCTCTCATTTAATTCTTTTTAATTTATAGTAGGGTAATAAAGTATAATTAATATACTACTTGCTTGATTACACATAATATCACATTCTTAAGATCATTAAACAAATATAAATAATTAAAATATCCTTATAAAAGGCTATTTATTATAAGATCATTAAACAAATATAAATAATTAAATATCCTTGTAAGCCGTATTCTATTCTTTTATTTTCAATTAATACATATACTTTCTTTGTTATCTTGATTTCTTTATTCTCATAATAATTTAATCATCAAAGTTTTTGTTGGAAGTGACCATCTCACTCTTGCTAATATCTAATAAAGGTTGGTCTCATAGATTTCAAGATATCAAAAGTCCATTCCAAACTCATTCGTCAAAACTTATTTATGATTGCATCTTTTCAGCAAGAATATTTATACTTCAATACTTTTTCTTTTTTTTTCTTTTTTTTTTATATGCAGAAATTTCCAACGAATTTCACATTCTAAAAATCTTCAAGCAGACGTCAGATTGGGATGGAATTGACCAGTTGACATACAAGGCTGCAGAAATAGTAGGATTTTGTCAAAATTTTCTTTGGAAATTACTAATTTTATTTTCTACTTTTTTTGTGTGTGAAAGATATCTTCAACCAACCCATCTACTTCGACACTTTTCCCATACTTCTTTACGTCTAATTGACTGCTTCAATTCGTTGAAGCATTGACCACGTCAAAGTTCAAACCGAGCTACCTCCAAACGAACACCAGCATCCAGACAACATTCGATGATCTATGTTTTGTTTCTAACTCCGTGTTTCTTCTTTCTTTGGATTACCAAATTTGTATATCCCAAAGTTATTCAAAGTCCTTTTTAATCACAGACGTACGGTACCACGTAATTACACAGCCAAGACCAGAAAAGTGAATCTGAAGCAAATTAATAAAAACAAAACGTGTATGTTTCTAGAATTTTAGCAAAAAAAAAAAAACTAGAGTTAAAGCCATTCTCTGTTTCACCTCTCTAATTAATAAAATAAAAGTTAAAAATGAGAATTAACTAAAATAATAGGAAACAAAGTATTTAGTCTACAGACAGAGTATTTCGTTTGGAAATAAAATATTATTTCGAATGAAAACAAGAACGTCTGAATCTTAAGTTCGTTATTATAATATACTAGAATCAATCATCGCATCTAATATTTATGTTTAAAATTATATTAAAAAAATATTTATAAACTACCTATTTCTAAATGAGGTACAACATAAAGTTTAGTTCATGTTTTTAAATGTAAAATCTATAAACTATTTAAAATTAATATAAATGTATATCAACGTCTAACTTGAGCCGAATATATATTCTATTTGTGTTTATATTTAAAACCCAGGTTTTGAAACATTCAAACCACCATTTATTAGTGAACAAACCCAAACAAGAAACATTAACTACATCTCTACAAGCAGTTACCCCAAGCAACCATATTTGACCATTCCATTTCATCGAGTCCAGCACCAATTATACAGTCATGGCAGCATCTCAATGCTGTGAGAAGAGTTACGTACATGCTTCTTTTCATGTAAAATTAACGCTCTTGCTTGTTGTAATACCTCATGCAGCTTCTCTAGATTTCAACTTTCAGCAATTTGGTGACACTGGAAACGCCTTCAATCTTTCAGGAGATGTCTATCCTGAGCAAAAAGTCCTTCAACTCACCAAGTATAAGGCAGATAGTTATGGTAGAGTCATATATTACAAATTATTGAATCTTTGGGACAAGAACTCCGGAAAGGTTGCAGACTTCACTACCCATTTCTCCTTTACCATCAACACCCCAAATAAGACCTATCATGGAGATGGCATCACATTCTTTCTGGCAGATCCAAAATTTCCATCATCCCAAATAGATGGAAGTGGTATTGGTCTTGGCAGCCGTGAGCAACTGAAGAATCTAAATTACGCGACGGACTATCCTTTTGTAGCAGTGGAATTTGATACCTGGGTTAATGACTGGGATCCTGGATATGACCATGTGGGTATCGATGTTAATGCTATTAACACTACTCACACTACCGAATGGTTCACTAGCATGGATACAAGAGGATATGATGCACACATTAGTTTTGAATCTGCTTCAAACAGGTTAAGTATCACCTTCACTGGATATAAGGATGGTGTCAAAATTGAACAGACCTTATTCTCGGTGGTCAATTTGAGTGATATCTTACCTGAGTGGGTTGAATTTGGCTTCTCTTCAGCAACAGGATTTTTTTTTGAGGAACATACTCTTAGCTCATGGTCCTTCAACTCTAGTTTAGACATGGAATCACAAAAGGGTGGAAGCAAAACAAAGCTGGTTATAGGGCTGAGCGTTGGACTTGGTGTAGGGGTTTTAATCCTTATCTTGATGGTAACATTCCTTGTGAGATGGGTGCTGAGGACTAGAGGGATGGAAGATGTCTCACTTTTTGACCATTCTATGGACAGTGATTTTGAAAAAATCTCTCTACCCAAGAAGTTTTCCTATGAAGAACTGGCCAGAGCAACTAATAACTTTGCAAAAGAAAACAAAATAGGACAGGGAGGTTTTGGGGCCGTCTACAGGGGACTTATAAGAGAGTTGAGCACCCTTGTTGCCATTAAGAAGATATCTCGTGGATCTACACAAGGGGTGAAGGAGTATATATCTGAAGTAAAGATCATTAGTCAACTGAGGCATAAAAATTTGGTTCAACTCTTTGGGTGGTGCCACCAGCATAATGACCTGTTGCTGATTTATGAGTTCATGGAAAATGGAAGCTTGGATTCTTATCTATTTATGGGAAAAGGCCTGCTGACATGGAAGGTGAGATATAATATTATCAGAGGCTTGGCCTCTGCATTGTTATACCTGCATGAAGAGTGGGAAGAATGTGTGCTTCATAGAGACATAAAATCCAGCAACGTTATGTTGGATTCTAATTTTAATGCAAAACTTGGGGATTTCGGGTTAGCCAGGCTGATGGATCATGAGATAAGATCAAAAACAACTGTTTTAGCAGGCACAATTGGGTATTTGCCTCCTGAAGCTGCCACAAGAGGCAAGGCTAGTAGGGAATCTGATGTGTACAGTTTTGGAGTAGTTGCTTTGGAGATAGCCTGTGGTAGAAAGGCAATTGACTCCAACATGAATGAACAGCAGATATATTTGGTGGATTGGGTTTTGGAACTCCACGGCATTGGTGAACTCTTTAAAGCATCTGATCCAAGCTTATATGGACACTTTGATGAGAAGGAAATGGAGAGTTTAATGATAGTTGGTCTTTGGTGCACTCACACAGATTACCTTCTGAGGCCTACAATAAGGCAAGTTGTTCAAGTACTTAATTTTGAAGTTCCACTGCCTATTTTGACACCGCAGGTTCCATCCTTTACCAGCTCTATAGCCTCTACGACTCCTGCATTTGCAAAAAAACAACCTCTGTCTTCAACTTCAAGCAGTGGCACATCATTGATCACTACTGGGTCCTCGCAAACCAGCTCAACTCTTGAAGTCATTTCTCCACCAGCTGCACATTTACTTACCTACTAAGTTTGATATTTATTCAATTGCTTCTTTTATTTTCTTAAAGTGAAACTGTAAATGTTTCACATTATCTTTAGCATTTCAATATTTTCTGGACATTGTATTTTCTTCCCACAATTTCAAGTTAAGAAACTCGCTTTGCCAGCAACATCTAACTCATTGCCAACATACATCATCTGCGTCAACTGCGATATTGCATTGACTCACCGAGTCTTGTATTAAAATTATCTTATTCATGAAGTAAACCGTCAAGTAGGTAACCATAAAATAGAGTGAATATGGTTGCGTCTTGACGAAGCAAATACGCAAAATATTATCTTCAAACCCGTCCCTATTCGTCACCAGCCTTAATAGTCAACGCGCTTAAACCTTCCATTTCATGAACACTAGTTTTGTTTTCAAAGGGTATCATGCTTGATTTGACAAATGTCGGTTTATTACTGTGTTTCGGCACAATCGAGGTAACTCACGACAAAACCGTGCCGAACAAATAACCCCTACTTTCATTTGGTAGCATATATTTTGCTTCCAAGCACCTTAGATGAATTTAAAAGAAATATAATATGGTTTGAAAATTAAATATATATAATATATTTTTACGGCTTTTTTTTCTATTCATTATGATGAAATGATAAACTGCTAATATTATTTGGTATAACAATCGTTAAATTTAGTAATATTTTACAGTTAAATGACTGGAACTTAATAAATATTAACAAAGCAAATATTTGTATGACAAAAAAGAATATAGCATCTTTTTAATCTGGAATTTTTTTTAAGATAAAATACTTATAATGTTTTAAAGCTCTTCTCTAAAACTAAATACTAAAAACATTATAATTATACAAGAACAAGTTCTTTATAGTCAATATGGTTATAATTTTGTAAAAATTAATAAAATGAAAACTGATAGATAAAAGAAAGATAATTGGATGCGATAAATTTTTAATTTAAAGATGAAAGTAGTCAAAACTTGATATCGTAATTTTTTTCTCAGAATTTAAAATAGTAATAAACTTAAACACATACTTCATAACCATTTAAATAAAATTGTATTTTTGAATTAAAAGTATAATAATATTTTGAAATAGATAATGAGTTAATTGAACATTATATTATTTAATTTATGAAATTTAAATAAGAAGGTTTGTTGTGACAATTTTTTATTTTTATATTTCTTTGATTGTAAAATTTATAAAGGGATAGTATCAATTTACTTTTTGTTCACTGGAATAAAAAGACCAACAAACAAAGCAGAACAATATTATAGTCAAGACATTAAATTATTTTATGGTTAAGTCCAAAAGAATGAAGATGTAGTTTGGTTACAAAATGATAAGTTCACAGTGAATATCGTTAGAGCGACCAGATCAAAATTTGTTAAAAATGTTTTCCTTTTATACTTGTGAAACAATGGTGGATCATTTAACAGGTTCCTAATAATCAAAACCAAAAATTATTTTGACCTAGATTCGAAAATTCAACTCGATGGTTTTCAAAGAATGATGAGGGTGACGATTCTATTTATAGAACGTGTAAATGTGTCATGGAAGCTAATAATACAAGAAATAGGATTGGGTGAAATAATCATGATTATAACTAAGAAATTACAACTTTTTTAGACAAAAGTAATAACAGATAATCATGTGAATTAATTACTTCTAATTTCGGATTAATTAAAATTAGTTAATGGCATTTTACTACTTCATTCTATTTTTTTAAAGAAGCTTTTCTTTTAGAAAAATAGATTTACAATACTCAAAAAATATATTAATAATCTTATTCTTTTGGAATATTATATAAATTTTCTTTAAATAAAATATTTAAATTAAGAAAGAATTGTCTTGTACTAAAAAAATTTATTCCATAACTATTTTTTTTCTGTCAAAATCTTATAAAAATATAAAAAATATTATATAACATTCATTCATGATAAAAGAAAAATAATATATAAAAAATTAAAATAAAATAAAAGAATGTTCAATATACATATAAAAGAGTAAAAATTAAACAAAAAAATAATTTAATTAAAAATAATATAATATAAACACAATATATATATATATATATATATATATATATATATATGATTAATTATTTAAGAAGTCGACTACAAAATTTGTGATCTTTTATTTTTTTTTTAATAATAGATTATACAAAATGAATCTCTATTATTTATTATTTTTTATATAATATTTAAAAGTCACAAGTTAAATAATTTAAAAAATGATTAATTAATATTTTAAAATTTTAGGTATAACATCTCAAACATATATTATAGATATTTATATAGTTTATGTGAATAAGATATTTTTAAAATACATATTGTTTTTTCAATGAGAATTTTCTACATTCATTTAAATATCATAAAATGTAAAATTAATAAAAAAAAATCTATGACTCTATTATCTTTCATCTAATTATATTTCAAATCGTATTATATTTGCTTCCGTGTAAAACATACTATCGTTATAGTAAAAAAAATAATATATAAACACATGTTAAGCGAAATAAAGATGTTAAATTTAAATTTGTTCTAAAAGTATTTCTATATATATTTACAATTACATAAATTCATTTCAAATTTATCATATCAATTCACATCACACAAACTTTAGACGACTTTTAGAAGATCGGACATTGAATTAGACTTAAAGATTCTGCACATGTCACATTATCTTTCTTAAGTAGATATCTCGAACATAGGTACATAATTGAGACACATATTTCTTCATCTGACAAGGTAAATCCCTATAACTTGTCAAATACAATTTTTTTTTTCACACCACAAGCTAAGTCATAGAAACTTATTTCAACTCCCACCATCACCTGATCCCTTCTTCTATGTGATTATAGTAATTAGTGGAGTCAAGATAATCTCCTTCAGAATTCCAAATTCAATATTCGTACATATTTCATCACATAGTACCTCCCTAGGTACAAATAATCACACACATTTCAATCGATTATAGATCATATCCTAAACTCAACTTAGCCTCACATACATAGATATATCTTAGTCGATTATGAGTCACTCTCCTAACTCAATTAAATCTCAACAAATATATCTTAGTATTAAGAATACAGAAGACACAACCACAACATCTTATAATTCATCACAAATATAGTGTATACATATGAATATCTCATGGTAGTCCTCATCCAACATACATTATTTCATGTTCAATACATATATTCTATTATCCTGAGTTGTGTATATACCATTTCTCACATTTTAGCAAAGAATTACATTTATGGGATTTGACCTATGTATACTCTTTTGGTAATAACTTTTTCTACAAATATCTTTTTTGGCTAATTCTTGTTTCATTAGATTCCTTATTTTTAGGACTTCAATTTGCATATATGAAAAGTTAAATTTGGAATTTGAAGATATTTTTTACGATTTTTAGAAGTTTGGACAAAAATTGCTTAGAAAATTTCGTTTAAGTGAAAATACACATGAGAATCACCTCCTTTTTTGTGAAAATTTTTAGCTTGAGCGAGACTCACTTTACTTGAGCAAATATTTCTTTATTTGAGAAAAAATACACCTGAGACCAGGCTGAACCACTAGGAGTTTTTCGCTTGAGCAAGATATTTTTGTTTGAGCAAAAATACACCTGATAGGAGTCATTTTCTCTTCTGCACATTTTGCTTAAGCAACCACCTGTAGGTTAAGCAAAATATGCACCTAATACATTTCGAAAATACACTTTAAACTAGTTTCTATACATTAATCACTATACTTTTAGACTTTATTACATCATTTCCTTATAAAACATATAATATCTAGTCCAAATATCGTTAGTCTACCCTAATATTTTATACATATATTTCCCACATAATAAATCTAGTTCTAACTCATTTAATCACATATCAATTTACAATCAACTCCTTGCAAATTAGACAATGTGATAAAGTCACCTTCACAATCCATATCATCTATTCTACGGTGCTAAGAAATTTATTACTAGTTTCTCTTATCTTCCAATTTCATTGCTTTCAATTTTGGAAGCTCTAAATCCCCAATTTCTTAGGAAGTCAAATCTTGCTCATAGAAAATTCTAATAAATTAAACCTATCACAAAGTCCCTAAGCTATTTAAGATTAATTTACCCCAACAAAGTCTACATGCAAGTCCTCGAAACCCATGTACAAACCTAAACTTAATTATGCAAAAATAGTCTAAAAATTGAGAAAAGAAAAACTTAATTTATTTGAAATTCTCATAAGATAGAATTGATCTTCTATCTTATAAAAATACTAAGGTCTACTTAGATTTTAAAAAAGATGAAAAAAATGAGCAATTTAGAGAAAAGACAGATAAATAGAAGTTGTAGATACAATGATTTTGTGATAATAAAATTTGAATGTTTAAACTATTTTATTTATAATTTTTTTATCTTAAATGGGAAAATTTTAAACTTATTCTTATTATATCATTTTTTTTCCTCTTTAAGTCACTTAACTCCCTTAAATTAGGTCAACCGAAATATCTAAATCTATTATTATTAGTTTCATTAGAGATACCCATCAAATACACAAAACAAATAATACTTCCAAACAACACCTATTATAAAAAGTTACTTATAGTCGGTAACTAAGTATATCAGAAAAACTGAATTAAATCTCCTTCACAACACCTTAACTGTTTCGGAGACACTTTAATCAACTATTAAAATTTACATAAAAATCAGCTTGAACAAAACCATTAAAAAAACACTTAACTATGTCAAAGTTTTACCCTCAGCTATTATCTACTCTTCAATTTGCTCAATTCAAATAATTGCAGATGATATGGTTGGATTTGCCTCACTCCAACCTTGTGAAATGCTACCTATTTCCATGTCATATACGTTCCATTCATCATCATCTACAAGGTGCCTAAAATAGACGCAGTTCCTCCTACATCCTACTTCACTTGCCACCACAGACACGCTACAATTACTCCCCACAAACACTGCTCTTTCCCCAACACTTTCCACCTTAAACCAAGAGAGTCTAGCCATATTAAGCTGATAAACCTCAACACCATCCAAACTATGCACAGATGATTTTCTCGATAAAAGAAGAACCAGAAAAATTTCTCCCTCGGACTCAAGCAAATATTCTCTGAAATGATTTGAAGAAACCGAAGGAATTATCCTTTTGCTACTTAAATCCGTGACTTTAGCAGCAGAAAACGTCTTCTATTACCACAAGACTCCCCTGAACACTCAAAGCATAGAACTTACCTTGAAATCCAATTGCATTAGTCAATTGCACAACCTGTTGTTCCCTCCCCAATGGCTCAGTAAGGGTACAATCTTGCATGGTCCATTGAGGCTCTGGTGTTATCCATGAACCATTAGACCTTCTTTTTAGTTTGTAAAATGCGAAAGCGGGATGACCAATTCCTGTTAGTGCCATAACCGTGCAGTTATGATCTTCAGGTGGTGAAGAAAGCACAACGAGTTTAATTGGTACCTTGGGATCCCATAAAGGAAGACGAAACGTTTCTCTATTTCTTGGATTCCACAGATTGTACATGTAAAGGGATGCAGCCTCAGCGACGAGGATGCCATGAGAGCACCCCACATAATTTTTCCAAGGGTACCTTGCCAGTTTTCTGATGAAGGGTCTAAGCCAACGCCCAAAGGGCATGTATGCAGTTGAAATTTCGATGGAGCCACTCCATGCAACGTGCCTATGGTATTTCTCAGTGTTTGCGGCATCAGGGTTGCAGAGTTGAAGCCAAGGAAGTTTGGAATGTGAATTGCACTGCTTTGGTGATGTTCTCCATGACTTGATTATGCCCCCAACATTGATGTTTTTGTGGAGATTCGGGTTCCCTTCTGCGATGTTGTGGAGTTGCCTTGGAAGGTCGAGCCAAGATTTGGGTTTCTGGACTTGTTTCTTGCCTGGAGATTGCTGGTTGTGATGCTGTTTTTTCTTATTCTTTGGCTTGAGAGCCATTTTTGGCGGTGACAATGACAAGAAACGTGGAGTTGAGATTAGATTAACGTAAGTGTCCTTAATAACAACTTCGACTTAGCTCCCAAGAAATTAATAGTCTTGGGCTTCACGTCATTGCTAATTGATATATATTTATTAGTTTGCCAGGATTTTAAATTAAGAAAGAAAGTCATGCACCACTTTTTTTCGGGTGCCCATTTATAGACCACAAACAATATAAATCTATAAACAATGCACATTAATATAATAATTATAATAAGAACTCAATTTGACATCTTTTTAAATACCGAATCTTTAAAGTAATAGATTTTATATTTTGACTCTTTTCTTTTTTTCTTCTATCACCCACTTTACTTGTATCTCAACTTTATTTATTTTTTTTACCTCTCCCTTCACCTCCAACTCCCTCTTTCATGACATGACCTCCTCAAAATTTGATGGGAACCATCCCATCCCACAACTGTACCACCATAACAGCCCCCACTACCCTGAGAGACTTTCACCACTCACATCTGTGATTAAATCCAGTATATTTGTGGTTTATTTATTCTCTCCGAATTTGCTTAGAGCACGAGTCTTAAAATATATTTTTTGAGAGTTTGGAAGAACCCATTCTTCCCACTGAACATCTTCCTTCATCATATAATGCGTATCTTGAAAATGTAAAATCTTTTCAAGTTAAGATATGTGTCCAAAACGACATAAAAATTTCCTTGACATCTACAACAATTTTAATGTGATTTTGGTTCTACTTGGTAGAACTCTTAGCTAAAGTTACATGAACGCATTTCATAATTTACCCTTTAATTTTTACATATTCTTATGTTAAATTGATATCCGTATAAATATCATATTATTAAAAAATTAAGGTAAATAATAATTTATATAAACTTTCATCTTTTAATTCATGAAAATATGTTCTATTAATTGTCACATACTAGAATTTCAAGATGAATAATATTTATCTTATCGTATCAAACTTGAGATTGAAAGCTAAAACATTTATTTATTTCTGATAAAAATACTAATTTAAGTATTTGTGGCTTATATATATATATATATATATATATATATATATATATATATATATATATATATATATATATATATATATAATAGCCAAGTCTTATTTTAATAATATAATAAAACTTCTCAAAATTTCTTTCATAAATCCCTCTTCGTGTCATTGAAAAAAAATGTAACTAAAAAAAATAAACATCATCAAAATAATCTTCAATATTAAATATTGAAAAATTAATTATTTATAACAAGTAATATTTGTTATATAATTTATTTTATTTTATTTATATAATTAAGGTGTTGTTAATTCGATTTAATTTTATTACCGTGTTGGATAAAATGGAAAATATTTAATGTAGGATTAATTAGCTTGATTGTGGATATGATTCTTTTTTTTCCTTTAAATGTAAATTTCTTTTAGTTAATAATTGATTCGTTTTAAATTTCCTTTATTTTTTATATTCATTTATAATAAATAAATAATATATTATTATCATTACAAAAATATAATTTAATCTTTTTATATATATTTATGATTACATAAAAGAAATAAGGTATACTTTAATAATATGTGGAAAAACTTATTTAAAATGAAAGTAATTATAAAAAATTAGAATTATTTTCAGATATTTAATTATATTTTATTTAAAGTTTAGGAGTTAAATGAATTGATCATAACTTGACATTTCTATCTATAATTAATGGTACTTACTATATATAAATGAAGAATGAAATTGAACATGGAGGGTCAAAATTGCAAGGAAGAAGAGTGAGGAAGTTTGATAATGGAAGGAAATTGAGAGTAACAAAAACAGCAATGTTGGTTTGTAACCGAACAGAATCTCTGAAATGGTCCAAATGACCACACACCACACCTCTATTTGTCCGCCACCACTTCCTCCATCACCACCATCCTCCCTCCTCCTTGCAACACCGCAACAACACCCTCACTCACATCATCACAACCCTCTTTCTGCATTCTCCTCTTCCATTTCGGGCCACCTCTGATCGATTCCTCCCGCCTCCTCCCGCCTCAGATGCAGACTCTCCCTCCCTTCTCTTGCATCAGAGGTTCCTTCTGCTGCCCATGGATTTCCCTCCTGTCCTCAATCTTCTCACACAATTTGGATGCGGCTTCGTCCTTCTACGCTCCCTCTCGCGCTTTTTCAACATTTTAGGCCTCTTTTTGATGCTCACCTTTTGGTTCAAGGTTTGGCGCTTCGGCTGGAATTCCAAGAGCGCCGTTCGATTCCTCTGCGACTCTGGAACCGTACCCAAAATCCGCTTCTGCCTCGACAAAGTTGCGTGGGGAGGTTCTAAAGCAAAGACCAGACCTTTCAAAAAAGTGCGCCGGCCCAGGTCGAGTTCCTCCATCAGGAGGCGCTCCAAAAGCTCCCGACAGAGAGGCAACGCAGGTTCCGAAGATGGGTCGGAGGGGAGGGGCGAAAACGAGAGGGATATCGGCCTCGAGGACGAGGTGTACGATGTAACGACGCTGAGAAAAATGGTGAAGATAGAGAGACTGAAGGCCAATGCGGCGTGTGCAGACCTCGAGACGGAGAGGACAGCGGCTGCCTCGTCGGCGGAGGAGGCAATGGCGATGATTCTGCGGCTACAAAATGAAAAGAGCTCCGCAGAGATTCAGGCCACGCAGTTTCGGCGAATGACGGAGCAAAAGCTAGATTACGACCAGGAAGTGATTGAGTCGTTGCAGTGGACCATCACGCAACACGAGTTGCAGAAGGCTGAGTTGGAGGATCAGGTGGAAATTTGTAGGGATGATTTGAGGCAGTTTATGAGGGACGAGGATATAGAACAAATTGAAGTTGAAGTGAGTCGGGATTATACCTATAATGATGATGATGATGATGATGATGGTGGTGGTGGTGACTGTGATGGTAATTCTGTAGTTAGCTCTCCCGGAACCGAATCACAGATCTTGTAAGTTCTGAAGCTTGTTATATACAAATGAAACGCCGTTACATAGACCTGTTTTGGTATCCACTTGTAAATTGTATTTATCCACAATTCAATTAATAATAATATTGAAGGCCTATACATATTTCTTTTTGAATCATGGATTAGGCTCAACTTTTAGGTTCAATGGTATACTGTGAATAAATTCAATAAAGCACATAATGTTGCTAGGATTGACGCCTGGAGGATGCGTGTTATGTACCCTATATGCACTCAACTACACATCATGATGGGTAACACTCCTAACTTTCTGGTTTATGGTTGTAAATTTGTTGAGAATTGGATTGAAGCACTTTCGTGCTGTTCTGATGCTAGCTGTTGAAAATAATGTATATGAGCCATTGAGTCTGAAGATGTAGCTTTACTTGCATAATTTTGTGCCATGGATTGCACTGTAGCACTTGAAATTGCAGGATTCTTTGTAGTGGACGTGTTCAATTAGCCTCAACTTTCAGGTTTACATGAATAAATTTAACGAAAACACATAATGGTTGGTAATTACGTGCATGTGGTGAGGTGCCAGTTATGGATACAAACTACAAATTAGCCTAGAAAGGGAACTTTTTGTCTGGACAAACTTCTACCCTAAAACTTTTTAAGAGAGAAACGTCTTCTATCCATTTTACATCTAAATTGGTTGGTATATAGTAAATGACATGAGAATGATTGGTTTTGAGTTAATAATTAGGTATGATGATTTTTCATGAACTTGAAATTGGAAGTGTCTATAGTTCAGAAAAAACAAGAGCATATAGATGACTAGACTAATAAACAAAAGGTGATGTTAAGAGGCAAAGTAAAGGATAATATCAGTGATTGATGTTACGTCCCAACTGTAATGTAAATTAAATTTACCTTTTTTAATTGATCAACTTTATTATAAATTTAAACCTTCTTAACTTGCTTTTACTTTTCAATTTTATCCTATAAGTTTTTTTTTCATTTATATTTCTTAACTTTTCTTTTCTTATCAAGTTTTCTTATTGGACTAAAATTTTTGTAATCATTTTTCTCTAATGACTTCATCATTTTTATCATGTTGTTATCAGTGTCATTAGCTTCACCATTTTTTTTGTGTCACTTTTGTTATATTAATTATCATCACTTTTATTCTCTTTTATGATTGTTATTATTTTGTTTTCATCATTTTGTTATACTTTTACTATGGTTGTTGTTATTGATATTATTATTATTTGTTATATTATTGCCGCTTTTATTATTATTAATTTTTTACAAAAACACTGCCAATATGCAACTTTCATGAATGATTTTGGAAAAATACGCACAACAACAACAAAAAACCCATTACGTTTTCATTTAAAAGTAAAACACCAAATTTTGGAAAAACCATTATTATTATTATTGTAGTTTGTAACAATAAATGTGATATAATAGGTTGGTTTGGCCTATTATTACGCAATTAACCTATTTACATTAATGAATATATTCCAATTTTGTTTTTAAGTGAAACACCGAAATATTCTTCAGCGTATTAAAAAAATAAATAAGCCTTTTTCTTATCCTTTCATACAACGATTTCTTTTTTTCTTTTTCTTTTTTCTGGTTTAACACCATTCGGCCATATTATTACCGTATGACATGATGTAACTAAAATTTATGTATGTAGCGCGGTTTCAATTTTAGGATTAGAATTGGCTCGAATTTTAATCTTCAATTTTGTTGAATTTGGTCGCATTATCTATCCAAATTCGATTTTCGAGAAATAGTTAGGTTTTTAATTTTCGATTTTTAATAAAACTGGGGAAGAAAAAAATTATAAGAATAATAATTTATAGAAATACATAAATAAAAAATAAAATAATGTACGACAAATTATAGGAATAATAATTTATTTAATAATAGTTTTGGTGTAAAAATTATACGAATAAATAATAAGATTATATAGTGAAAATTATTTGAAGTGTTTAATATAAAATTAAATTTTAGAAGAATAATATAATTTTATTGATTAACAAAAAATTATTTAAAAAGAACTAACTATTGAAAAATTAGTAAAATCAAAAATAAAGAAATGGATGATTTAAGAAAAATCATTTGAATAATTTTTTTAAAATTTTAAAATTATGGTAGTTTATTGTATTGAATTAATTAAATATAAATAATAATTTTGTTGTATTTAATGTATTTTTATATAATTATTTATTTTTGAAGAGGATTTTTTTATTTAATTTTTTTTGTATTTTAATTATAATAGTTATATATATATATATATATATATATATTAAAATTTAGAAAACAAAATTACCGTAGGAGTAGAATTAGTATAATGAATTTTAAGTTATTTGAATATTTATTTAAAGAAAAATAAAAATTATAAAAATAGTTATAAATGAAATATGCATAATTAGATGAATATTAATTAAAATAAATTAAGTAGATATATAATTAGAAAATTTTAGATCTTTTAATATTGTGGCAACTAATATAGATATTATCTTTAAAGTCGAATTTATCAACGATGGGTGGTCACAAACATTTTGTTTCGATGAAAAGTTAATGATGTCCCATAAGTCTTTATGTTGCATGGTGGAAGGTAGAAGTTGAGTTTTTTTTTTTTTTTAACATTTGATCGTTTATGCAACATTTGTATTATAATTGATTTAAACTAAATCAAGCACAATTTGATTATTAACTACTTTTACTAGACCATGGTAATTGACTTTTGTGATTTATTTGCTATCTTCACACTATATAAGTTAGGTTATTTTTAATAATAATTGATAAAATAACGAGTTGTATTAGATTGACATTTTTCTTGGATTGTCACATCTATAAGTAAGATCGAAATCGTTTGGATTTTCCATTATAGTGACCTTTGGATAGATCCTTCAAAGTAAATTATTGCTTATATGGAAGAAATGAGGTTTGAGTTTGTGGAAGAGGTTCCAATAGGTGGGTTTAGAAGACTCAATATTTGTTTAATAAACCTTGTAAACTTAGCATAATTGAGACTTATATTTAATCATTTGATATATATCAATATTTGTTGACTTTTGAGTCACATGATACATAATCACATCATTCTTATTATTTTTTGTTGTTGAAAGTACAACATCTTGAATGATGTATTGTTTGGAAGTTCCAAAGTTGTGCAAACTTTCTCCTTCAAGAGGGTGAATGTGTGAAGTTATATGGTATATGAAATAGTTTTGTAGTTGTGCATTGAAATTTCATACCTTCACATTAGTTTATTTTTCCATTTACAAATAAAGCAACAAGATAGGAATTTGAATAGTTTTCCATCTTAGTGATGTCAAAGTGTTCCATTTGAAGATGACGAAGTAGAATGTTTGATGTTTAGAGAGAGTGAGGTTCAATTAGGTTTGTTAGGAAATGAATTCTTGTAATTTAGGGTCTAAGTCTGGTGTATAATATATTTTATAGGGTTAAAAGTGTATTGTATGTTATTTGAGATTAACAATAGGATAAATGTTAGTGTGGATGTGAAAGTCCCATGTGACCTCTGTGTTGCATTCCCAATGAAGTTGACAGTATTGTTTGTGTAGTAGAGTGCATGTTAAATTGTTGACACGTGTCCTAAGCCACACATTCACTTAATGCATGCCAGGATAACATCTCATTCGAGGTGACCTTTGTGTATAACACACATTCTTAATAAAGTTGACAAGTCTTGTTTGTGTGGCAGAGTGCATGTGAAATTGTTGACATGTGTCTTGAGCCACCCCTCACTCAATGCATGTCAAGGTAACATTTCATTCAAGGTGACCTCCGTGTGTACCATGCATTTCCAATAAAATTGACAAGTCTTATCTAGATGGTAAAATGCATGTAGAATTGTTGACACGTGTTCAAAGTCATCTTATTCACCCAATGCATGTCAAGATAACGTCTTATTCAAAGTGACCTTTGTATAACACACGTTCCTAATAAAGTTAAGAAGTTTTGTCTATGTGATAAATTACATGTTGATTGTTGTTTAATTTGTAAAAGTTGTATCTTTCATTTAGTTTTTAATGAAAAATTGATTGTTATTGTTATTGTTTTTGTTTCATTATTTGATGATGTGACTTAATTTTATTTGCTTTTATGAATTGTGCGATTGTATTAATTAACATTTTTAGTATGTGAAAGTTAAGGCCCAACATGGTGTTTGAGACCATTATGTGGGCCATAAACATAGGTACATGATAAGTTTTTGTCATAAATGTCATCATTTTGGACTTTGGATCTTATTAGTTGAACATGAAATTTAATGTTTTAGATTGAAGGAGAATTTTGATTATATTAATTGAGAATTTTACTATGAAGAAGAGTAGTTGTGAAGGCTCAATGAGAAACTAATGATTTAAATACTTTGCACCCATAAATTCATATAGTTTTTATGTGCATGAACACATTGGAACCATTAATGGAGCCAAAGAAAATTAGGGAGATGTACAAAGTGAGTAAAAAATACAATGCGATATCATAATTTATGATGCAAATCTCAATAACATCAAACATTTTATGATGCACATTAAACACTATATGACCTAGAACATTATTTAAAGGAATGTGGTTCTAGAGCAAGGAAGAAATGATTGACGCACTTAAGAGGTTTCACATAATGAATCACTATACCTACAAAGTTACACATTCTAACATCACCAGATTAAGAGTCCAGTGTGTTAAGAGTTATTACAATTGTGTCAAAAATCTTGTGCACTAGAGAACAATTTTGGGAAATCCGAAAGTACAAGGAGTTCACACAGGTGTTATGCCTTGATTTCACACGATCACAATAGGTTGGAGTTACGCATAATTTCACAACATATTTGTGAAATTGTGGACGCGTACACTTCTATCCCTATTGTCACTATTATTACTCATATGAAGTCCTCAATTAGACATACTATGACATATAGAAAGGCTTGGGTGACATTTTCTTAGGAAGAATCATTCAACAAATTACCCAACCTATTGCAAGTTGTGTCACAATTTCTTACTAGTTTTTATTACTAATTGTCCACGTAACAACTATTTTATGGTGACGATAAGGTATACTTTAAAATACTTTTTTGGACCTTCAAGTCATGCATTAATGGCTTTTGGTATTACAAACCACTAGTCTAATTGGATAGGACATTTCTATATAGCAAATATAGGGACACCCTACTACTAGTTGTTGCACAAGACGAGAGGAACAACATATTCTTCATTGCATTTGCGATTATTAAAGGTGAAATTGCATATATTTGTTTTTCTTTTCCTAAAAAACCTAAGGAGATATGTCACACCTTTGGATAACTTATGCTTAATATCATATTGCCATTAATGCAGTGTACGCAAAACTTGAGAGTGAATGCACTGAGGGTAATTATATGCATGTGTACTATATTAGACACATTGCACAAAATTTTATGACAAGATTAAAAAATGTGACTCTAAAAAGGTACCTTGTTAATATGGGAAAAGACTTTTATTCTATCTTAACTTTTTTACTTCAATATGCAGCATACATAATGATTAAGGCAAAAACAAATTACTACTACGACATAATAAGGCAAGCCAATTCAAAAACAATAACCTGAACTGACGATATTCCTAGGAATAAATAGACACTTGCATATGATGAAGGTAGAAGATAAGATCACCTTACAACTAAATTAGTATAGTCAATCAATTCAATCATAAAGAAAATAAGGAATTTGTCAATCTCCTCCATGGTGATGACCTTATAACAAGATATAACAAATTCTTCATTAAAGAGGGAGACAAACTAATGTAATGATTAATGTTGATCATATTCATTTAGAAGTTACATCAAAGGGATTACAAAATGCTAATACAAAATCAAACATTCATAGGGTGGTTGAATTCGATAAAAATAACACAAAATACTTGATGGAGGAGATTGTCAACTTAAGAGAAGTTCGACTCGGTAGAAAGTTTGTCATTAGACTAGATGAAGGTTGGTGCGATTGTGAAAATTTTCAAAAACTTCATATATCATATTTTTATGTGCTTGTAGTATGCAAACATGTCTACAATGATTTTGACATGTACATCAATCATGTCTATAAGTTGAATGTAGTAAATAAAGTCTACGGTAATTTGTTTAGGAAATTTAGACACTAAGATTATTGGTCATCTCACTAAGGTCTACAACTTTGCCCTAACACTACAAGAATTTTACATATTAGCTACGACACATTCCGTAGCTATTTTATAGCTAATCTCTCGCTAGTATGTTTTGCTACAGATTAGCTACGGAATAGCTATGGAATAATCCGTAGCTAAATCCAAGTAGCTAATTAGATACAGATGAATTCTCTCTCAAATTTGTAGCAAATTTTGTCACTAAACGGTCGCTAAGTCCCTCGCTAATTTAAATGATGAAATTTTGTTTTTCTCTAGCTAATTGATCTCCCAAAACTTGTAGCTAATTCGTAGCTAATCCTTCACAATTTTTCTCTCGCTAATCCGTAGCTAATCTCTCGCAATTTCGCTCTCACTAATCCGTAGTTAATCCCTCGCAATTTTTCTCTCGCTAATCTATAGTTAATCCCTGACAATTTATCTCTAGCTAATATATAGTTAATTCCTCGCAATTGTTTACTCGCTAATCCGTAGCTAATCCCTCGCAATTTTTCTCTCGCTAATCTGTAGCTAATCCCTAACAATTTATCTCTAGCTAATATATAGTTAATGTCTCGCAATTGTTTCCTTGCTAATCTGTAGTTAATCCTTCGTAATGTTTCTCTCGCTATTTCATAGCTAATCCATCACAATTTTTATCAAAATTCTTTTCTCGCTAATCTCTTGCTAATCCGTAGTTAATCTTTCGTTAATCCGTAGCTAATCTCTCATAATTTTAATGACGTAATAAATATTTCTGCTAATATATCATCATAACATTATAATATCAAATGTTTAACATTTAAATTATTACTCATATTCTTGAAAAAAGAAGACAAACTTATCAACTTTCAATATAAAAATATTGTTTAAACATAGTTAAAATGATGTTTCAAACAATTAAAATATAACAAAAATAATATTTCAACTAAAAAGTTCTATATAACACAATTAAAAATAGAAACAAAGTTTAAATTACATTTTCATCATTGTTTCTTTAAGGCGAGATAATAAATTTTTCTTGAAAGATTGCATTTCTTCTTGCATTTGTTGTTGCATGAGTGTTTGCATTTACGCTTGTATCTTCATTTGTGTTTGCATCAATGCTTGCATATAAGTTTGTGCCTGCAACTGTGTTTTCATCTGCTCTTGCAAACTAGATATCTGTGTGCCTTCAACTGATGAAGATGAAACATGTGCAATACCAAGATCAAAACTCTGACCTATACCATAAATTAGCAATAAAACAATGTAAAAAACAGATATATAATTTATTCAAAATTGTCCACGTACATAGCATAAATATTAGAGAGGTGGTTGTTTCTATTATCCAAATCTGTGGCAAATCATTCAGCACAGAAGTTCATATAAAAGACATCATCTGACAAGGATCTTTGGATTTTACAATGATACAAAAAGAATTACCTTCAGTTTTGGAGTTCCTCCTTTATGCCTTGTGAACTGAAAGTACATATCACAAGGCATAAAAACTCTCTCAAGAAGAGCGCATGTACGCATTACTTTTGGAGATCCTCTGAGAATTTTTGGTAGCCATTGCACTCCGGCCCCTGGATCAACATCTGTTGGTGCAACATGGGCCTGCACATGCTCCAACATGACAGACAACTCCCATCTTTTCCATGCAATTTCAGGCTGGTATTCACTACTATTTCCATCAGTAGTATTAACTGCTTGCTCGATCATCTCGTAACCAACTTGAAGGATTGAGTGATATGACTGGGCTAAAATGCGGCCACTTACAGCAGCAAGCAAAAACCTTCCCTATAAAAGTATGAAGACACACATAATCTTGGCACATTGTTTTGAAATTTATAAACAAAAACACATGAAAATAAAAAGCAAATAAAGATAACAAAAAAAGTTATTATTTTTGGAAATCCGCCCTAATCGTTGTCACTCCTAGCCTGGATTATTTGCAATCTATCACAGTTGGTGGTCAATGCCTTGGAAAGGGCTATCTATAGAGGGATGACCAGAAAGACCCTGTCAAGTGTCATTGAGTGTAGCATCCAGGTAGTTGGTTCTCAAGGAACTAAGATCCCATAGTGCCTATCATGTAGAGGTATATGACAGATGTAGTCTTTATAAAAACTTGCCCAAGAGAGAAAAACTTTCGGCATTAATGTGGAAGAAATTTTATTTCAGGGACCTGTTTGTCATAGCCTATATCATTTAGGAACTCATTTGGTACTTCATTCCTACACAGTCACTATCTTTCATGTGACCCTTGAAGCATATTTCCTTTCAGAAGAGAAGTGGTTTTCACAGGCTCATTGACTTTTGCATGATTGCTGAACAATGCTTTATCTATCATGACTCAGCTCCCTCAATATGCAAGGGAAACCTTTCTAAAATAGCTATTCACTTTGCATCATCATATGGCAGCTAAATCCCTCAATATTCGTAGAGTTAAACCATGGGATAGTTATAAAAGAATCTGACAAGTTTAACGGAATTAAGTGGATGATCAGCACCTATAAGAACTACTCAGGGTGACAAAAATAACAAAAGCTGATCATACACCCTAGTTTGTCTATAAAATAACGTTTCCAGTCGTAGTATTTTAGGGATGTCATGTATTTCTTTAAAGAATGTCATCATTCCTCGTATGCAACAAACATCTCCTAACTGATACCATACCAATTCAACCTAGATTTTCTTCCAAAAATAGTATAATTAACAAGAAGAAATTATATTTCCTCCACATGCACCACAATCACAAGAAAAAAAAATGATGGTGGCCAACAGTTTGTCCACAACCGCAATTGTCCACCATATCAATTTACATGGCGAAACCACAACCGAATTCAAAACCTAGCCTAAAACATCATGAAAACATGAAGGAGTAAGAATTGCAAACCTCTTACCGGTGATTTGACGTTGTTGCTGCAGCCAAGTAGGACCACTAGTACCATTCCCATTAAGGCGCTCCTTCACGGACCTCTGCCCTCCATTCTCCACGAGATCAGCGTACATTTTCTACAATTCACTCGGTTCAAAATCGGAAGAAGAATTATGAACCCTAAATCGAAGAACAGAGACAGAGAGTGTGAAATAGAATGGAAATGATCACGGTTCGCTGAGGAAGAGGCAGAGAACTGTAATGCTGAGACCGTAACAGAGAACGAAAACCCTAACAACCCATTTTCTTCGTCGTGAAAGGATGTTTAATTTTGAATGGAAAATAATGGCGATGGTTTGTCTCAGGAAATTGGAGTTTAAAGGAAAGGGAAAAGGTTATGAATAGAAGGATTGGAAGAGTTGAATGATTGTTCCTACGTGGCGTGAGATTTTGATTTTGCAAAGAGAAAAAGAGGATACTTGTTTGGTACGGAAGTAAGAATGGAAAAAAATATCTATTTCAGCTTATTATTTTGGCGCGCGCCACGAGGAAAAATATTGCAAACGCTGCTAGTTTTACAATGCTAGTTCAAGAGTTTAATAATTGTTTGAATTGTGGATTATTTAATCTACTTTGTTTAATTTGCGAAAGCAGATTATAAAATAAGTAACATGATGTAGAAAAATATGGTTTTAGGGACCTGAGATACAAATTATGTTACAGTTTTAGATAAATTATGCAATGTAAAAATTATTAAAAAAATTATTTATAATTTTTTTATTAATTTAAATTATTAAATACTTCCTACAAATTTAAATTTATAAAAAATTTACAGAAAATAATTTTAAATATTTATCAATTTTTTTAGATATATTTTTAAAAAAGTTATAATTATTTTCAAATAATTTATTTCAGAAACAGAAAATAATTTATATATATATATATAATTAATATATTTATAGTAAATTTGGTAAAAATAATTTTATAATTATTTTTTGTTATAAATTTGCTACAATTTAACTATGATGGTATGTTATATAATTTAGCTAAGAAATAGCTTCAAAAAATAACATAGTTAATATTTATAGTTAGGGATTAGTGATAAAAATTTTCTCTAACTAAATTATTTTTCTACTAAGTGAGGGAATAGCTACAAAAATATTATCTTCTAGCTATTTTACTACAAATTAGCTACAACTTTATTCTTTTACTATTTAATAGCTAATTAGCTATAAATTAGTGAAAAAGAAATTTTGTAGCAAAAATTTCTAGCTAATTGAAAATTTTCTTGTGGTGTAATCCAATAGTAAGAAGTTCCAAGGGTCATTCAAAATCATTTTGAATTAGACTAAAATGGATATCCACGAAGAAAGTCAATAAAAAAATGCTTCTATTGTCACATTCTAGGACACACAAGAAATTATTGTTCACATAACCCCGACTTTAGGGGATCAAGTTCTTATAATTAATTATACTTGTGGTTTTGTAATATGTCATTACAATAAATAAATAAATAAAATTCTATCACTAGTACAAAAAAAATTTTTATGTCACATTTTTTTCATTGAACTACAAAATAATCTACTTAAAAAAAACACGATAGTATTTTGGTAAATAATAAATACAACTTTTACCTTAAACCTTGTAAAGTCAATATAAAAATCAATTTTAAAAATATATTTTTTATTTTTATTTAAAAATAATGTTTATATTTTTTGAAATAATTATATATATATATATATATTAATTTTTAAATTAAACCAAAATTAATTCATTAAATTTAGTATAAAATGAATTAAGTTAGAAAAAAATTATGACTAATTTTAAAATATATATTTAAACCATTAACTTTTTTTACTTAATTAAAAGAACACTATATTAAATTATCTATTTTTACCGTCTAAATCTCAATGACAATAACAAACTTAATATAAAAATAATCTTTCATATCTCTTTTAATAAATCATTCCATTTTGAAAAATACTTTTAAAATCACGTTTCATTAAAATTATACGTAACAATTTTGAACATATAAAAACAATGATAAAGAATTACATTTTTGGTATCCATTCTAAATACATCCTACAAACCTTGCACATTGACTTGATAACTTCTTCAATTCCCCAATCTCCTCATGCATTGCAATTGTATAAGAAAAAAAAAATGCACACATTACTCCAAAAAAGTTCACATAACACATTTTGAAATATGTAAACTAGAAGTTTAAATAAATAAAAAATTTCTACAATACATTTTTCTCATAACCTAATCCAAAATATTTATGGATAATTGATTCTAGAGCATTCTTCAGTGACTATGAATTAAATTATTTGCAATACAACGCTAAATTCTTGAATACACAATTTGTCAAAGTTAGAAATTTACACTTATTATAATTTTGGATTGCTCTAACTAGATAGAATGGTCCATATCATGTTTTTCGGAAAATATGGTGACCACCATTATAACTTTTTTGAATAAATTTAATAATGTGTTTCGTTATCTTTACACTTACCTAATCTCAACTATCTTCAACTTTTCTCCACACTCCCTGACGTGCATCAACTGAAGAGAATGAGTGAAGGATGATGACCAATTCAACATACGAAATTGGTGGGAGAGATTCTTATAAAGTATTTTTATAAGGATTTTTGGTACGTGAATATAGTTAAATATAACGGTAATACCGGTAAGATTACTAGATGTGATTAAAAAATATTTTCATTAAAAAAAAAAAAGAAGGTAAACAGGCACGGAGGAAATCATACAAAAAAAAAAAAGGGTTAGGAATCCAAATGTTAAAAATGTTACATTGATTCAAAATGAAAAGGTTGAATAATTTTTAAATAAGAAAAATTTATAATATTCTTGTTGGATAGTTTTGAGTCTCTCGTCACTTAGAGTCCAGATTAAGAATAATTTATATATATTTTCTCTTTTAATCTATTAAAGTGTCTTTTAGTTTATATTTGAATTATGATAGGATTTGAGATGATTTAGAGTGGACTATGAGATTGTTTGAAGTAAGGGAAAAATAGTAAATTTGAAAGAATGTGAGTAAATTTATTGTAGTTGATTTGATTGATGTGATTGAATATAAAAAAATTGAATAATAATTTTTTAGTATAATAATCAAAATATCATTGAAATGGATAAATTAAGTAAAAATAATAATTATGATATTATTAATTTTATAAATATAGATTTAATAAAAATAAATATAAATTAATTTGTAAAAAATAATTAATTTTAAAGTAATTAATTTAAAAATTTAAAATTTAAAAATTATTTAAAAATATATTTTAAATTATTAATTAAAAATCATGTATAAAAAATTGATGTGATGGAATAAAAAATATAAAACAATAAGATAAAAAGTATATTGACCAAAATACTCCTATAATTAATTATAAGTAAAATAAGTATAAATTAAAATTGTAATGTAATCTAGTAATATAAATTAATTAATTTATATTATAGATAAAAATTTAAATATATTAAAATTAATTTATATTAATTGTAAAAATAATTTGTGATATTTTATAGAAATATTAGATTTTAAATTTTATAATTATAAAAATTTAGAATTATTTTTAAAATTATAAAAAAATATTATTTGGAAAATTATTTAAATAATTAATTATAAATCATGTATAATTTCATTAAATAAAAAACAAAATATAATAAAGAAGATCATAATAAAAAATAAAATTAAATATTAAAATTATATTATTAAAATAAATAAAATTTATTAATTTACATTATAATATTAATATATTTAAGTAAATTAAAATTTTATTTAATATATTTTTAGTTTTATTATAAATAAAAATTATTTTTATATTCCAATATTAATTCATATATAATAAATATAATAATATAATTTTATTAATATAATAATATTATTTTATTAATATAATTGATTACTAGTATATGTATAATTTGTTTATATTCCTGTAAACGAGTAAGTATATTTTTATAATCGGATAGTCTGATAGAAAGGATCTTACATTGATACAAGTAACCATCCGATGCCTCGCACAAGACGTTGGACAAGTTAGGGTTTACTTCCACATCTCATGTCTCACACAAGTTAGGGTTTACTTTAACATCTCAATCAGTTTTATACGGGAACTATACACCATTGAGATCACATAAGATTTGAGAGTAGATTTCATCCGTTCTCCTCAAAAAAGAAATAAGTATATATAAAAGACACCCAATTGAACGTATTATTTAGAAAGACTTTTGAGAAACTGTTAAAATAAATGTCTTTCTCTATGATTATGATTATGGAGTTCAAGATTCGTATTCAATTGTTACCTCCTTTCATAACCTTTATCTTTGTTTCACTGATTTTCCTTTGCGCATAAAATTACTGGTAAAATGGGTAAATGAAACATTCTGCATCTCAACTCCCACCTTTCTCACCAATTTTGGAGGAGTTGAGAGAGATTGTAGGTAGATGGATTCCACCTCTCCGTCACCCCCCAAATAATGTATAGATACGAACATTAGTGCATCATTTCAAATCCGTTCTCCCAATTTTTCGTCTACCGTACATCTCCAAAAACAAACAAAACAGTAAAGATAAAACTATTAACTCCACGTGACGAGTGTCACATCATTTTATCCTTCCTACCTTAACCCACAAAAACATTGAGAGTTCATAAATATATATACTACATAAAAAATTTTAAAATCCATAAAATAAAACTAATTACGTTTGTATTTAATTTTATATTAACTTAAAAGAAAAATCACATTAAAAATAATTTTTTTGAATAATTAAATAAATGATTTTATTTGTTATGTGATAATGGATAGAATCCCATAATATCCATCCTTATACACTTATTTAAAAAAAAAACAACTTTAATCTTCATTCTTATATTTTTCATTAAAAAAATTTAAAGTTACAAAAAATACTACAACATTCACTTTTTAACAAGATGATAGAATTTGTTCTTTGTGTTTATACATATTTACTAATTTATTCATTTTTTATTTTTTTTAACTATAAATGTTACACATGAATATATTTATATTAATGTTTTGGTATTTAACACATTTGTTTAACTACCACTTTATTACCGTTGAGATAAAATTATAAATATAAATTTAATCATTGAACAAAAATCATAACTAAATAATACAGTAAATATAATCATTCTTAATTTAAACTATATAATATAATTATTTGTATAAAGTGTTTTAATATATATATATATATATATATATATATATATATATATATATATATATATATATATATATACATATACATGAGATGTTTCTAACCCCATGAATATATCATTACCTTTAAAATTTATGAATTCCTTACTTCAAATTACATATATTATATATTATTTAAGAGCTATACAACTTAAAATTTAAAAGATATTTTTTGAATTACAATTTAATTATTGAATTTCAATTTATTTTTATTATAAAATTAATAATAGATAATTTTTTATAGAAACATTTATGCTATATAAAAAATTGTAGATTTTTCTCCGACAGAAATCTTTCACAATTTTTTTCTCTACTTTTATCATTCAATATATGATACACCTTGTTTAAAATATAAAAAAATATTTTTCTTAAATTCAAAATATTAATTAAACAAGTTTATAAAATATAAAGAATAACAAAAATATATAAAAATTGGAAAAAATTGAATAAAAATAAGTAAAAATTAAAAAAAACTTCATTATTATATGTTTAAACCTAAAATAAAATATTGTTTTTTGCATAAATATGAATATAAAAGTAAAAATATAGTATTATTTCTATATAATTATTATTGTTTTGTACTCTTTTTAATTTATAAATTAAATAATAAAATAAATTTCAAATTTATTATTAAACTCAAACGTGACATTAAAAACATTAAAAGTATCAATACATAATATTAAAAATAATTCATAATTTTAAATCATTCCAATATAATTAAATTATATTGTAAATAAAAATTAAAAAATTGTGTTACAAAATAAATGAAAAGTCATCCTTTCACAAAGATATTACTGAGTCAAATTAAAAAAAAAAAGATTTTAATAATTTTTATAAAAAAACCTAAACAAATATCGTCAAAAGAATTCAAAAATATATTTTAACATAATTTTGAAATAATTATCATCATAAAATTTAACCATATACCCGTTCATATGCAAATTCTAAATTACTAGCGTTTAAATGATTTGGACTCATTATAATTTTATTATAAAATTATGTAACTAATTATATGTTTAACCCTATGAGATTGAATCTGATTTGGCATGTCTATCAATTCATTTGTCCTATGTAGTTCGTCCTCTATTTTATACATTTCATAGGCGTATCATCACTGACAAAGTCAGTGTTCTTGTTTGCACTTAGATTCAAGCAAGGTCAGTGGTTGTGGTCTCTTAAGTATATCCATAACCTCTTCATACACGCTTCATTGCACATCGAAACGACGATGTTGAGGCTTTCGATTCAACGAGGTAAGTCGTAGTGTGTACTTCTTTGTTTGCGTGCCCACTTGCTCAGTGGCTGATCAGGTTTTGGAATTTGGAATCGGATGAAGAATTTTTTTTTTTTCTTTTTTTCTTTTTTGGTGTTGCAGTGAGAAAGTTGAACTTTCTGAGGCCTCAGATCTCTGCACTGGGAAGATCCCATTTCTCAACTGCCGCTGAACCATCGTCCAGTAAGCGCAATCCACTGGTAAGCTCACGCTTGGAATATTTGCTTCCATGTGTATCTGTTAACTACACCAGTGTTTGAAAAAATCGAAGCTTTACCGCTGATTTTTTCACTCTCTCTCTCTCTCTCTCTCTCTCTCTCTATATATATATATATGTATACACACACACACATATATATATATATATATATATATATATTTATATATTGCTTTGTATTCATTTTGCTTAAAGTCTGTGTGGAATTAACTAGTTAGGACTATTTGGTCAAATGGAATAAAAAGCAGCGTCTTTTTGGCTTACTTAATCTACAGCGTTCTGAAGTTGAAGTCTTTAGAATTTCCAGCTTTAGGTCCTGTATGTAATTTCATATCAGGTCATAAGAAATTTCAGAATGGAACTCTACAGTAAGTCTGTTAGGAGTCCTACTCTGAGTAGAATAAACTACTTATGCTTAAGCCATGAGACTGAGGACCAGTCTTTTGATTCGACTATCTTAATGTGCATAAGTCCTAAGAAAGGTTTAATTGGTTTTTACATAGTGCCTTTTATGCTAATTAGTTTTTTTTTTTTTTAACATCTGATTCCCCCTTCTTTTTTGTTGGATTCTATCAGAGGGTTCCAAACCTTATTGGGGGCAGTTTTGTTGACTCAAAATCATCATCTGTCATTGATGTTATAAACCCAGTAAGTGTTTTTCTTTTGCTTGTTTTATACTCCATTTACAGTTGTTAAAATGCAGAATTGTAACATTTCTTTAATCTATCATAGGCAACCCAAGAAGTTGTTTCTCAAGTTCCTTTGTCTACGGATGAAGAGTTTAAGGCAGCTGTATCTGCAGCAAAGAAGGCATATCCATCATGGCGAAGCACTCCAATTACAACACGCCAACGTGTTATGTTGAAGTTTCAAGAACTAATACGCAGAGATATGGTAAGCATCTTAGAACATTCTATGACTGTCAAATTCATTTTAAGACAAAGAAACATCCATACTGGAACACAATATCTGTAATTGTTTTAGGATAAACTTGCTCTGAATGTGACCACTGAACAAGGAAAGACGTTGAAGGATGCACAAGGAGATGTATTTCGTGGTTTAGGTTGGTCTTTCTAACATGTAGCTTGAGAAGATTTTGTAGTGTGATAATAATTATGCCCATAAATTTTGATACCGCAATTTCTGAATATTTATCTTTGTCATTTAGAGGTGGTGGAACATGCTTGTGGGATGGCAACTCTACAAATGGGGGAGTATGTTTCCAATGTATCACATGGAATTGATACTTACAGCATTAGAGAACCACTTGGTGTTTGCGCTGGTATTTGTCCTTTCAACTTTCCTGCAATGATTCCGTTGTGGGTAAGCCGTCTTCTATCTTTTGGGTGGCTTTTGGCTATCTAATTAATATTTCATCTTCACCTCTATTATTTGCTTGGCATGTCATTCATATCAGCATGCATGAGATAGAAGAAGTCTACTGTAGAATGATCCAAAATTATTTGGCCTGAATACTTTTCTTGTTTCTCGAAGCAATGCAATGTACATAACATGGACAGCATAACAAAATTCTGAATGTCTATCATCTGCAGATGTTCCCTATGGCTGTCACTTGTGGTAACACCTTTGTTCTAAAACCATCAGAGAAAGACCCAGGTGAGGGTTTCTATTAAACATTGATTCTTATATTGTTTGTCATTCAAAGCAAGCTTAAGGCATTGAACTATTTGGTGGACACCTTGAGTTGGAAACTTTCTGAATAATATAATTGCCTGTAATATATAACCTCTTCAGTGGTTGTAAAGTATTTTGCACCCTGATAGAAAGTGGCTCAACTTATAGAGAAAATGGGGAAATTCCCCTTATTTCTGTATGACTGTAGAACTTCTTGCACCCAATCCTCTTAAATGACAAGATATCCCCTCTCTCAATAAATAAGGCATATTGCCTTATTTCTTATTATCCAGCCCCCTAATTACAAATTTATAACAAACTAACTGACTCTAACAATTAACTAAGCCCCTCAAGTAACATTTACCTATCACAGTCACTCGGCCATTTGTCTGTATTATCTTAAGGTCTTTGAGAATTGCATATTTTAAAATTATAAGACACTTAGTTGCAATTTCCAAGAAATAGTATTATTGACACTTTTATTAACACCCTTCTGTTTTATTAATCTTTACATTTAAATAAATATATTTTTTGGCCTTGATTTATTTAAACAAGGAAGATGCTGATCTAGCATGAAAAGGGAAAATAAGTGAAGACCAAAGTTACCAAACATTGGTTTCTTTTGTCAGCCAGGATTTCAGATCATGTTGGTCATCTTATTTACTGTAATTTGTGTGTGATTGTGCTGGTTCTGGTTAGTTGGGAGAAAATAGTCAGATGTTGTGTTTTTCGGAAATTTTCTAAATTAGTTTTTAATGGTACCTATGGACTCCTTTTGCCCACCTAGATGTTGAGTATTATCATCTGTATGTTAGTTTTCTTTCCTGCCCTTATTGATTTATCTATTATATGCAGGGTACTGTATGACAAGGTGATAGATCTAGAGGGGCTGAATAGATCTTTTTGGAAATATTAAGTTCCCCCCACCTTAGTAAAATCAATTTAGGAATCCAAATTTAATGCTTTATATTAAAAACAATTTGGAAACCTTTTGCTGTACAAGAATAGAGATCAATTTGAATAAAGATTGAAACTCGACAGGACAATATCTCAAATAAAAGAGAAGAGTAAGAAAGATTGAACACCCAATTTTTTTATACTAGTTCAATTATTTCAGACCTACATACAGTTGGATTTTGACAACCCTAGTCAAATCCCTCCACAGTTTCACAAACATTTACAGAAGAGACTTAAAGCCTCCCTCACTTCTTGAACCCTACAAGATGAATTTCTTAACACTTAATAGAACCCTTCTACGGGCACCTCGAGAAACATCTCAAGAATTAAAACTACTAAAATTAACAAAAATAAGGAAAGAAATTATATGGAAATTGATTTACACTATTCAAGCACACAAGGAAACTTACCTTCCTACCAAACCTTTAGAAAATGTAAAAGATTTTCTCTCAACATTTTGATAGCTCTCTTGATTCAAATCCTTCTGAAATTTTTTTTTGAGCTCTGAAAATGATCTTGAAAACTTTTCTTGCAAATGTAGCTTGTTGTTTTCTAGAGAAGGAAATAAATTAATTTGTAGAAAAATAAGATTTAATAGATTTGATCTCTTTCATGAAGTAAGAACACTTGTTTTCTCGCTTTGAAACTCGTTTTAATTTCTTACAAACCTTATTTATTGATTAAAACAACTATAAAAAAATCTGGAGTTGAACCAAAATTGATTAAAATAACTTTAAAAACCTAAACTAAAAACAACTATAAATCGTTCTTGATTGTCTTAGAAGTTTTTTCTGGGTTTATGTAATTGATTACCACAAAATTGTAACCAAATGAAACAAAGTTTTGTGCTTTATTTGACTTGCTCAGTATTGTGTTATTGATTGCAAATTTTTGTAATCTATTAGAACGGAGAGCACCCAAATTCATACAGCCACCATACATGTAGACGATTATGTGTCTTGTGAAAAACTAAACAACTTGAAACAAGTGAAATCTATTACCAAGTTATATTTTTCAGAAAACAAGTTAAATTTCATATGTGATTTTTATTCTATGGCTTGATAAAGAAAATGATTACCTTAGGCATGATCTTAGCTAAAACTAAAACTAAAACACACATGCCTAAATCTAAAACACACAATACAATGCTGCATTCATTTCATGTTTGGCATGTTAAATGACAAACCAAAATATAATGAAAAGGTTTTCGATCCTTGACGTCAACAGGTACACCCAAGACCTATGACACAAATTTTGTTTCATCAGTCCACTTTTATGATTCATCGTCCTTGGTTACATATTTAATGGGAAGAAATAAATTTCAATGTAGCTAGATGTGTTATCTTCAGACCACCTAATAAGATAAGCATTGACTGGTATCTGATATATGTTGTATTTTTCAGGTGCTTCTGTAATGCTTGCAGAATTAGCATTGGAGGCTGGTTTGCCAGAGGGTGTCTTAAATATAGTTCATGGAACACATGTATGTCATCACCTGGTTTTTTATTAACTTTTATGTTTCACAAATTTTTCTGATACTAATTAATAAAGGTAGTCACGGCCCATTTGGCATTTGGTGATTTCGTCATGTATTCAAGCTTTAAATTAAATCTAAAAATTGCATATAATATTGTACTTATACCATACCAAGAATAGTTGATACTATCATAAATTTGATTAGCTGTTCCAACGGCAAAAACTTGTCATATTATGATGTCTCATGCAGCAGTTGCTGTTCTTTGTAAAACTGATTGATCTTCTTAATCATCCAACTGGTGCAGGATATTGTGAATGCTATTTGCGATGATGATGACATCAAAGCCATATCTTTTGTTGGGTCAAATGTTGTAAGTCATTTGATACTTGTTTGGTTTCTCTAATTCATTATTTTATGATAATTTTCTTTTGTCACCTTAAACTAGCCAACGGCTATCCTGTTATTTGTCAGCAAAATTGAATATTTTTGAGGTTTGACTGTCTTAAATCTAAAGATGGATAGACAAGATCACGTGATAAAATGCTTAGAATTTGCAGTTGATAGACCCCATTTTGTTACCTTATATGCTTATTTGATGTTCTTATTTTGTATCAAAGGCTGGAATGCACATATATTCACGAGCAGCAGCTAAAGGGAAACGTGTTCAGGTAGGTGTACATAGTTAATTCTTCCTTGTAAAGTTGTTGGTTTATAGCAAAGCAAGGATATGAAGTTAGACAACTACACTATTGTTTGCAGTCTAACATGGGAGCCAAAAATCATGCAATTGTCATGCCAGATGCAAATGTTGACGCAACTCTAAATGCTTTAGTTGCAGCTGGTTTTGGTGCTGCTGGACAAAGGTGTATGGCTCTCAGCACAGTTGTTTTTGTTGGAGGCTCAAAATCATGGTATCATCTTTTATTCTGTTTTGATTTAATTCATAGCTCCTCTATGTGGTCATGCCAAATGTCTGAAATTCACGGTGTATTTGATTATGTTGCAAGTGGAATCATCACTCTTCCCTCACAAAGACATAATTTAACTTCTCTGTAGAGAAAGTTCAATGACCCAATAACAACAATTTGTTTATATGGTTTTGTAATGCCAATGTTATTCATTTTCTATAATTTTGAGAACATTGTTCCATGGAAATACTATTCTGAGTGAATGGAGTTCCTTGTGAAGCATGTGTAAACGGAAAGTTTACTTTAATATTTTGTTTTTGTCCTTGGAAATTTAATTTCGTTGTTATACCAGAAATTTTAAGAATTGCATCCTTTGCAATATTTGTGTAGGGAAGCTAAACTTGTAGAGCGTGCAAAAGCTCTCAAGGTAAATGCTGGAACTGAACCTGATACAGACCTTGGTCCAGTGATCAGCAAGCAGGTTTGTTTATGATCTGATACTTTCTTTTTCCACATTCTATTTGAAGTAAAATTCTTGTGTATCATTCAGGATTTACTGCCATAGCTATTTAATGCATCCCCTTTCCACGCCAACTTTTAGGTACATTTTAGCTATTTATATTTATGTTTCTTGATTATTTTTGTTGGCTGCACAGGCAAAGGATAGAATACACAGACTAGTTCAATCTGGGGTTGAAAGTGGTGCCAAACTACTGCTGGATGGAAGAAATATAGTGGTAGGTTATATATACTTTTGAAACACTGATTAAATGTAATATAGCAAGCACTTTTTACCTTGTAATAACGATTCATACGTGCATGACAAGTAGGTCCCAGGATATGAATCGGGAAATTTTATTGGCCCAACCATCTTATCAGATATCACTGCCAACATGGAGTGCTACAAGGTTACTCAACAATCTCCAATCTTTAAGTGTCTTTTAAAAGAATTCCCACTACTTAGACTTGAAGTTTAGATGTTTATTATACTTAACTGTCTCTTAATTGCACATGCAGGAGGAAATTTTTGGCCCAGTTCTCCTTTTCATGGAGGTTTGTCTGTTTGTTTCATCCTTAGAATTATGTTATTTCATAAATAAGAATTACAAAAATATAATTTTCGGTAAAATGTTTCCTGTTTAGGAATAATTAACTCCCTTCAGATGATTAATGATGTTCAAACACTGGCAAGTGATTAACCAGTTCCTTGTGTTAAATTATTTCTAACAAGAAAATATTAACACGTCTGAGACTCGATGAATTTGAATTTTTAATTGACTCAATAGACAGATATGCTGATAAAGTCTTCGCTCTTTTTTTGTCTTTCAACTTCATCAGGCTGATAGCTTGGAAGAGGCCATAAACACTATCAACAGTAACAAGTATCTGTTTAACAACTCGTTGTTGTCATTGCCTTCTGTTAAACTGCTGTATTTTTTCTTACTCTTACTTTTCTAATAGGTACGGAAATGGTGCTTCTATATTTACTTCATCTGGTGTTGCTGCAAGGAAATTTCAGACTGAGATAGAGGCTGGCCAGGTAATGCCACCTAAGTTAGATGTTTATGCATCGAAAAATGAGGAGTATTAACACATAACACATTCTGTAACTCTTTCGTTTCTAATACCCTTGCTTAGATTAAGCTTAAATTCATGTTGGTCTTGCTTTGGAAATGAGACACATTTAGTAAGACTTGCATGCATTTTACCAAATGGGAATTTGATAGATATTAATGAGACACATTATCCAAAGGGAGATAATGTACTGGAAAGAGTGATAGAAAATGTTTTGCTAGTATATCTTGTATAAATATGTATTTTTTGGTTAACCATGTTATTAGTATGAGTATCTACCAGTTTTGCCGATAACTAATCTCCATTAAGAACCTGGTTAGTCACTTCTTGTAGGGTTTCTTCTCTCTACCATGTAAATATTGGACAATTAATTTATTGGTTACAGTAAATATATTTTGATGGTGTTACTCATGAATAATAACATATTACTGCATTTGAACCAGGTTGGCATCAATGTTCCCATTCCAGTTCCTTTGCCCTTCTTCTCATTCACTGGCAACAAGGCATCGTTTGCCGGTGATCTCAACTTCTACGGTACAATAATGATTTCTTCCAAAGCTATTCATTACCTACATTTTTTTTGAGTTAAAATTTATTTTGGCAATAGTGTTTGTTTTGATTTGCTATGCTTTATTTAATTACAGGCAAGGCAGGGGTTAACTTCTTTACACAGATCAAGACAATAACACAGCAATGGAAGGATTCAAGTGGTGGTAGCAAGATTAACTTGGCCATGCCAACCTCTCAAAAATAGTGTTGATTAGCAGAGCGTGTAACATAAATGTTTCTGACACCTTTGCTCTCTTTAATAAAATGGCAAGATCGCTTCCTGTTATGTTTTGTCCTTTCACTTTTTTTTTTTCTGATCTCTGTCTCTTTTCTTTTGCATATTTTCTTAATTGATTATTAAGTACAAGAATTAAATTTGCATGATTTAAAAATAGAGAAACTGAAGCCACTATAAAATTCTTGAGGAATCAAAACAGCAAAGTGTGTATAAAATTAAATATACTAGAAGAGGAACTGATACCTTGAAAATATTGTATGTACAAGGATTAATTTGAAAAAGATATTAAGGGTCTAAACAATAATATTAGAAAAATATGATTTGTGGTTCTTATACTTTTTTTTTTTTGTAATTTGTCTTTGGTTTTAACAATTTTAAATTCATCATTCAGTTCATAAATTTAACATTTAGTAAAAGTAGTTTTTAACCATCACAAATGTTAGATTGATTAATATGAAGATTTTAAAATGTATTTTAATAAAAAAATTCAAAGTTGAAAAGGCTTTAAATCAAGGAATAGACTTGAATGCATAATTTGTTTTCTTTACAAATTTGGTATTAAAAACCAAAACTCAAGCGAGTTGGTGGCAATGTATTTTTCTTTTACTTAGAAAGTTAATTAAAGAAGCAAAAGATACTTCTCAATTATGTTTCTCATTTTTAAATATGCTTCTCATAGGAATACACTCATAACATAAATTTGTTTTCATATGGTTGTTTAATTATAAATTACTGAATTATTTTAATAATTATTTAAAAATTCAATCAAGTGAATGATTTTTTAATTAATTGAAAATAACTATCGAAGCTAATTTCAAATCAAAAATATATTTGTAATTTTAAAGATTCTTTTGGTCTGAAACATTCTTGCAAACTTTTTCTTTTTATTTTCAACTAATTGCAAAAATTTAAATTTAATAACTTTTTGGTGATATTCAAATTATTACAAATTCACCCTTATAGTTTCTTTGGTATAAAAGAAAATAGAAAATCAACTATCATTTCAATTTTGGATAGTTTAGGGAGAGTTGTCGTATTAGTTAACAAGTTATCAATCATATTATTTAAAATGTTGAATACCTTTTTTCTTTAAAAATTATAATACTTTTTGTCTAATTTTTAAAAATACCAAAATTCAAAATTAGTACTAAAAAATAAGATTCATCGTTTTTTTTAAGTCTTCCATGATAATAACTTATAGTGTTAATTGAAAATATCACACTCAACACTTCTCTTAAATCATCATCCAACCCTTTCAAATCTAACGTTGTGGTCCATATACAAATCTTATACATGTTTTGAAACATTAAAAACAAAAACTTTTTCAATTTAATAAACAATCTCTGCCTCATTGTTTTGTAAAATTTTCGTCCAATATGAATCACTAAGAGCTCTTCCTAACAAACAATTTTTTCTAATAAAATCCTAAATGCAAAAAAGGATTAAAAAAATCATAACTTTAATTAGAAAATATCAACCAAAGACTCTTTAGAAATAAATTAACTAAATCTTAATATTAAAAATACTGATTTCATATGGAAATAGCCTAAAACCGTGGGGTGAATTTAGAGAAACAGGAAGCAACTATGAATATTTTGCTTCACCATGCGTTTCTAATAAGAATTGAAAAATCAATTCTTCAGGGAAAAATTGAAACTGGTACTCCCCAATTTCAAAATAATAATTGAGACTCACTGTTTAAAAAATATCTAATTAATACAAATTTAGCAAAAATATCCAATTGCCATTACTTATTTTGTCTTTACTGCATTGCATTGCACCTTCCTCTACTTCTCTTCTATCTGATAACAATAATTTGTCATAGGTATCCTTTCCATTTTTCTTATATAATTTTGGCTCTCTTTTCCTACTTGCAAAGTAAAGAAGCTTACTTTGAGGTGACGACACTTGTATTGGCTAAAATTAGTGATTTTCTAATAGTTTAGCCAATGGAATCAAAATTGAAAGATTGCATGTAATCCATTTTTTGAAGTAGAAAGATTGCATATAACCAAAATACTTGGCTAACCAACTTTGGAAGTTAATGACTTTTACACTCATTTGGATTGGTAGTTCACTTCTTTTGTATATATTTTACTGCCACATATGTGATAAACTCCTTTCTTTCACATTGGTAGTGTCATGTCCTCATTTATTGCCACTAGATACAACTGATTCTATTGGCTACACTACTAGAAAATCACTAATATTATGTAATTACCTCAAAGGAAGCTTCTTTACAAGTAGGAAAAAAGAACCAAAACTATTATATGAGAAAAAGAGAAAGGATATCTATGACAAGTTGTTGTTATTAGACAGAAGAGAAGTAGAGGGAGGTGCAATGCAATGCAGTGCCAATAACATGAGGTAAAAGCAAAACAACCACCTTCAAAGCCCTTGAATTTTATCTTTAGAAAAGACAAAATTTATCTTGGATTTCACACCACCTTTTATCTTATATGATTTTTAAGTTGGTATCCTCAATTAAGTTCTACAGAATTGTTTTGCTATTAATCCTGATATACTAAGCTTATACTGTCAAGTTATTAATAATGTACAAAGTAGAAAAAGGCAAGAAAAAATCTGAATTGGAGTCAACCTTGACTGCATATATCACTTCTCAATCAAGATTAAATCTTAATCTGTAAATTATGCCGATACTTTTGTTGTTGACATATCTGGTTTGGCTGATGATTTACGGATAAATGATAGCAGAAAAGGCTCTAAAAACCGAAAGGGAGAAAGTTGATTATGTCAAAACGGAGAAGGGTGTAAGGTTACCAGCTATGGGCCTCAATGCACTGTTTACTGGTTGGCTGACTCTAAAGCTTTGTAACTTTAGCATGTTTTGTTTCATAGTTAATGTCAAAGACCATGCAAACTTGCTAGTCTTTAGCATGATTTGATATATTATGGTGTCTGTGACTATTTACTTTAGAAAGGTTTCTTCACACCCTCTTCAAAACTTGTTTCCATATAGGTAAATTATGATATGTATTTGTGTTAGACTAGAAGGATTTGTTTCATTCCTGTTGATAGGTAAGGCTGGTACTTTTTTAATAGCAGAGTAAATGATTTCTACATCACCTTTCATCCCTCGTGGATAAAGGACTAGCTTCATGGGGTGAATATCTTTTTTCGGATCTCTCAAAATTGTCTTAACATTTTTTGGTCTCTTGGATATATTAATCTAATGACACGTTACACTTCTAGAAGTACATTACATTACAACATCATAGGGTCAAAAAGAGGAAAAGAAGTACAGAGAATCAGTGTCATGGGTCTTGAAAGAAAACAATGAACAATTTGCTTGCCAAAATAAATAAAAATATTTGTCTACTCCAGTCATATTTTATATTATAAAGTTAACCTTTTCAATCCAGTTTTAACAAAATTAAGAGTCATAATTTTTTTTAAACCTTCTTTATTTCAAATTCTTTAATTACAAATATCAGGATAACAACTTAACTCTAATTAATCACCATAATATATTAAAAAGGTATATAATTAAAAAACAAAGAAATAACGAGAATTAAAATATTAATCATCGAAAAGGTAAGAATGAACTAATGACAGAGTTCCAAAGTTTCACCGAAGTTGCGGTACAAATCAAGGACGAAAGGGAGCAAAGTTGATAAAAAATCAAAAGAACGATCATATAATCATATTTAATTAAGATTGAGCTGCTGTATTGTTTCCTTATGAAGCAAGAATGAAGTTCATGTTCATGTTCTTGACCACAAGGTGGTGGCACAAGAGGCTGGTTTAAAGATACACGTTGTTAAGCAGATAATATATTGAACATTCAGTATAAAGAAAATCAACTACAAGTATGTGTGGAAATGGATTTAGTGCTCAGTTATGTACTGAAGTTGTGAAATAGAAATTCCAAAAATCAAGTCTAGAGAACTAGGTGGAGAATATAAACTAGAATGGCAGAATATACACTACACACCAATTATGTAGTCCCTATACTTACTTCCAAAGTTCAAGCATTGTGCCTTTCAACTAAAGAAACCTTGTATATCTGTATATATATATATATATATATATATATATATATATATATATATATATATATATATATATATATATATATATACAGACTTCAGATTAAACTTTTATAGTTTTAGCCAAATGCTTCTTCCCATTTTTGTGAGAGGCTAAGGTAATCTCGCAAGGGCATTCCACATTACAGACTTCACATCTAAATTTGGAATTATTCTTCCAAGCAGGTTGACATGTTTTCTTTTGCAGTTTCTCTCCATTCCTGGTCTTGGAATTTAGCTGATTCATAATGTTCTTCAGTCTCCATTCCTCTTCGGAATGATCATTTTTCAGCTTCTGTGAAACAGGTTGATTCTTTGCCTTCATAGCTTCCTCCTTAGCCCTGTGTTTTCTCCCTTTCAGGTGCGCATTCAAGGTGTTCTCGCTCGTTGTTGTTACATGGCATAAAGCGCAAGTCCACTCCTTCTGCACTTCCTCATGTATCGAAATCTGAGGAAGTTCTCGACCAGCTTTGTCCTTCACCACTATTCCTTTAGTTTCCAACATGGCAGGTGAAGCATTCTCACTGTGCGCAAGTTTAGGCACCACAGAAATTTCCTGCAATGTTCAATATTAGCATAGAGATGAAGTACTTATTGTAACCCTATCCAATATGATTAGAAGAATACACGTTTTTAAAATATTTTATATGTTACTACAGTTCCTAATGCATTGTCTTCAATCAGTATCAAGATGATTATATCATATCCACGTAGTAAAATGAATTGCCAAAACCTTTCATAAATGACTTTTTAGCATGCATAACTCTAAAGTTTTAACTTGTCCATGAGAAATTTCTATTTTGAGTGAGTACATGATATGAAGCCTTACTTGCTTGCCAGCAGGAATTTCTTTTTTCTCGATCACCTCCAAATCTTTGATGGCTTTGTGCTCTGTTTGGAGCCTTTTCTCATTTGCCTGCACAAGATCCTACTTCAATAAGAACTCTCACAAGGAGACTTGGATTGGTTGAAATGACTCATACAAGAACTTGAAACAAGTATCGTGTTAATTTCATTATTGCACCAACAATATAAAAACTCCACCTGTTGCGTTTCTTTATGGTCAGTAACCCTACTTGCATTTGTTGCTTCTGCAACAGGTTTTTCAGTCGTGTTCTTCAATAGAAGAAAAGGAGAATTAGCTGAATGTTTCAATTGCCAAAGTAACACATGTTTTATGGGTACACTAACTTACCTTGCTCTCAATGAGTTTCATTAAGGCTTCAGTTCCATTCTCTTCTACATATCTCTCTGCATGCAGTAAAAAGTGATCTTTCTTGACAAAAAACTTCTTCCAGTTATTTAAACTACGTATGACTGCTTGTGAATTTAAGGAGATGCAAGTGCGAATAAGTTTATTGTAGACATAAGAAGCTCGTCCAAAGTCAGGCATAATGAGCCAGAAGATGATCATTAGCTTAATGTAAGGCCAGAACTGGAACCTGATGTTAAACATGGGAATGAAAATGTTAAAACAAATTTATGAATTGATTAAAAAATACAATATGAAATGAGAAACCACTTGCTACAACTTACTTTGTTTAAAAATAATCACATTCACTACAAATCCAAAATTAGACAATAAAAACATTAAAAATATGGTCAAGAAAGAAACACTAAGTTTAAATAATTATATCTACATGATGCATACTTTTATTTCTATTACTTGATTGAGTTTCAACAAAATTTAGAAGACATAAACTTACTAGAAATATGTACGGCATTAAGCTTAACCAAATGAATATAAACACTTGATACTGTATTATAAAATACAAACTTCAGAAAATGAAATGCCGTTAATCCAAAGAGAATTCAGGATTTGTTAGATGACAAAAATAGTAGGCATCACATGGCCCCTTGACATTCAAAGGAAGCTTAATATATTGCTAGAATGAATTGCAACTATTATAAAATGGTTGTTGATATGTGTTACAATATAAAATAAGCTAGTTTATTAACCAGTACAATGCAGTTAATTTTTATTGTGAAGAAACCTTGAATAATGCAGCATGCATATTCTCTGTCTCTCTCTATATTTACTGCAGATTTCTGTAAGCAGTAACATTCATATTGGTTATAGCCCACTGCAATGAAGAGAAGTTTCTATTTGACTAAATTATACTTCAGGATCGACCAACTCAGATCTAAAATTGCTTTCTATTTGCAGAATCAAGGTTCTAGGAATAATGTAGAGAGTAAAGTAAAATAGACTTAGTTTATGAAACAAAATTCATTTGTCATGAAGCAAAAAGGCTTTGTCGGAAGAGGGAAAGCCCAAGTTTATAATTTCTATGTCTTGATTGTAATTAATCTGTGGCTGTCAATTTGGATCCTTATAGCAAACTTAAAAAAGAAAAAGAAATAAACAGATACTCCTATAGGAACATTCATGCCCTATCTCTAAATACAGAATCATAAACCTCATTGACACATGGGAAGTGCAGAGTTTAGTCCTCTCGCATTGATCTTAGAGTTCAATCCCAGTCAGAGAAAAAAAGAGAGTTGATTCTGTTATTGGGAAAAAAAATGCTCTTACCATTGAAGAAGCCTAAAAAATGCATAATCAAAGAGGTATATTAGCGAGAGAAGTATCCAATATGAGATCAAATCCCTAGTTTCGTCATATGAATCAGTCTCAATGGCTTGTACAGAAGCACATCTGTCAAAAACAAAGGAAACCAGAATCACAAACAACAAAAGCAGCATCCCAAAACAAAAGTAACAGCCTTTGTTAACCCAAAACCACAATTAAACAAATAGTCCTTTACAAACTTACAGAGGGTATCCCAAAGCAAGAAGAGGCCTATAAAAGAGACCAGAAAAACAAAAAGGAAGACAGTTAATTAGGCAGAATTGAAATGGAGTCCAAGGGGATCAAGAAGAAGCACTTTACGTTACAGTGAGAGACCGCGTACAACATTGGACAAGTAATATGAAGATAAGAGTGTAAGTTGTGTTTTTCATGTGTGATGATCAAAGTAAGGTTGAGAAACAAACAAAAAGACATGTATTGCTTACCATGCAAAATGATCAAGGCATTTGAGGGCGAGATTAAGAAACCAGAGAAAAGACATCTCTTGTGGACTCAATTGTCAGTGTTGTGTTGTTGTGTGGTGACGGTTGAAAAGGAAGAGGAAGAAAGATAAATGAGTGAGTTTGGAGCAAAGAGCACGAAATGGAAAGTCAGAGAGGAAGCCTTCGTGAAGAAGTCAAGTGTGGTGTGGGGACGTAAGTGGAAAACCAAAGGACAAAATATCTCCTTCATTATGTTTGTTTTATATTTTCCTTTTTCTTTAGTAAGAAATATTTCTATGCAATGAACATGGAGTCAACTCATAAATGAAAAATATTTTATATTATTATTTTTAATAAAAAATCACTATATGGATTTAACCAGTCTTCACTAGCAAAGGTTGTTGGAAGAAACCTCAATTTATATTAATATTTAGTCCCTCAAATTTAATAATTAATTTTTGAATTTTATAATTTATACTAATATTTATATGAATAATTATTAAATATATATTTATATATTTACAAATTTGATTTTCTACTTTTTATTTTTTATATTTATTTATTATTTATTAATAATATATTATTTAATCCTTTAAAAATAGAAATTGGTCATTAGAACTTAACAAGACATTGTTTAACATTTAGTAAAACTAATTATACATGTTTTCTTACGAAAATTGATTTAAAATTATATATTTAATTTTTTTTATTAACTCAAATCCATCAAAACAAATAGAAATTATATAAATTTAATTAATAATAAAAATATATATTAAAATAGTATTATGGTACAATAAAATACCTTTAAATCTTCTAAATTTTGAAATTAATTATAATTTATAAACAAATTTTTCTCATAATTTAATGAATATTTTTCAAAACCAGAATCGTGAAATGAAACTGCTGTTAAATAAATCAAGAGCATGTATAGAAATTTTCTTTTATAAATATTCTTAAAATATTTTTTAAAATTAAATAATCTTTTAATACATATAAAGAAAATTAGTTTATTTTAAGAATAAGAATTAAAGATTTATTCTTCTTCTTATAATTTTAATCTAATAATATAAAATAATAATTTATGTATTTTAAAAAATAAATAATAATAATTTAATTATTTAAATATAAATATATATATATATATATATATATATATATATATATCACACCAAATTTATAACATATATCTATTTAAAAATTATTTTTAATAATATAATAATATTATCATTAATAATAGTGGTAATATGAGTATATTTTATAAATTTGTTTTTACTTCTCATTATAGTTCTATGTTTTTAAGTTACTTTTTTATTTTTATTTTTTCAAAAATGAAATTTAAGATTTTTAATTTTATTTTTTTCTTTAAAGTAGAAATAGTATTATTATTCTAATAATCAAATTTGTTAAAGTATTATTTTCATTTTGAAGAAAAAAGACATAAAAAATTATGATTTGATTTTCTCATACCATTTCATTTCACCCACAGCTATATAAGTAACTGAAAATATTGCTTTTTTTACTAAAATAATATTATTATATTATATATATACGTAATGATGAAATTATTTATTTAATCGAACCTCTTATGAAATTATTTACTTAATCGAACTTCTTTTATTGTTGTACTTGGAATTTGGTGTCTCGTAGACCGAATTCCAACTTTAAACTTATAACTTTTTTAAAATAAAAAATTAAATAAAATATATAATTAAAAATAATAAAATTGATACTAAAAATAAAATTTTAATTTTAAAATTTAAATAATATTTATATAAAAAATAATAAAAAGTAGTATATTATTTAAATATATATTAAATTATTTAAATATATTTAAATAATTATTAAAAATATTAAATAATAATTTATTATTATTTTTTTTTTAATTTTTGAATAGGAAATTTAAATTTTTTATTATTATTATATGAATTATTTAAGTTATAATTTTAGAAAAAATTTGATAAATTTAATATATAAAATATTAAAAGTAAAATTAAAAATAAGTTATTAGTAGCAAAATAAAAATTATAGAACATGATATTAAACAAAAATAATAAAGGTAGAAAGATTTGTATAGAGTGAAATAATAGAGGTATATGAAGAAGAAAACCCTCCACAAATTTCTCCCGAAATTCAAGAATAATCACATCGATGAAATCCAAAACGTAATAGACGTCGTCCTCGTTATAGAACTAGACACCACTTTTGAGATTAAAATTTGCTTAACATTATGGTCAATAATTTTATTTTTCAATTTTTATTATCAATGATTATGTTATTTTTAATATTATAAATTAAATTAAATATTTCTTAATATTTTTAATATTATACATTAAAAATAACATAATCATTCATAATAAAAATTGATATTATACATTATCATTAATATTATTTAAATAATTTAATATATATTTAAATAATATATTATTTTTATTATTTTTTATATAAATATTATCTAATTTTTAAAATTAAAATTTTATTTTTAGTATTACTTTTATTATTTTTAATTATATATTTTATTTAATTTTTTATTTTAATAAAAGTAGTAAGTTTAAAGTTGGAATTCGAGTTACGAGAAACCAAATTCCAAATACAACGATAAAAAAGGTTCAGTTAAGTAAATAATTTCATAAGAGGTTCAGTTAAGTAAATAATTTCATAAGAGGTTCAGTTAAATAAATAATTTCATCATAGATTATGTTTCGTATATATAATATAATAATATTATTTTAGTAAAAAAGTCAAAAATATTACCTATTTTTTTTTTAATTTTAATATCTGTTTATCATCTTATTTTGATCCTTCCCGTTAATCACATTTTATTTAACAATTATAATAAAAGTATTAATTAAGATAATAAAAATATTATAAATTAAAGTCCTTTTAATTTTAAGCGTGCTCAGTTAAATAACATATATACTATTTTATAGAAAAAAATTAACTATATAATTTTATTATCAACCGTCATATTAAAATATTAGTTATTTATTGTGACTTTTTAAAATTTATTTTAATTTATAGGAAATTTATATTTTGTAATTTTTATAAAAAAATATAAAAATATTACGATGAAATACGAGAATTTCATGGAGCATTATTATTTTTCAATAATATTCTCATTTTTTATTAAACAATTTATTATTTCATTATCCATATTTTCTTAAAGTTGAGGGGTTTGTGTTTTTCAAAATTTTGAAACTCTCGATTCATTTATGATTTTGTTCTTTAAATTTAATATTTATTTATATATTTTTTTATTATTCTTAATTTTTATATAATTTATAATTTTATCCCTTCAAGTTTAAATATCATTTAATATATTTATTTATATATTTACAATTTTATCTTTTCACTATTTTATCTTTTTTTTTTTTTATATTTATTTATTATTTATTAATAATATATTATTTGATTTATTAAAATTAATCATCAAGATCCGTGAGTGGTCCTTTAATTTAGATTTAATTTTGATTGTGTGTAAAAGATTTTGATTCAGAACAATAAAATATAAGATATGTTAATATATTTTCACATACGTATAAACAATTATGGATATTAATATATTTATAAATGTATTTAAAAAAATAGTAGCTTTATACATATACTTGTATATACTATAACTTATATATACAACTTTTTTTTAAGACATATTAATCATAAAAATATTTTTAATTATATATGAAATTTTGATATTGACAAATTCTCTTTAATGAAATTTAAATAATAATAAAAATTAATTTAATTTCTTATAAATTTGAATCAGTATATATATATATATATATATATATATATATAATTTATTAATTAACGATGATAATATCTGTGACTTGCATTTTATAATATGATATTCATCTTAAAATTACAGTCATTTTATAACAGATGAAATATTAATTCCTGATGTAATTTAATCGACTATGATATAAAATATTAATTAATGCATTCATGTGGTAAAGTAAATTGGTAGTTTCTATCCCTTGGGAATTTAATCTATTATGATATAAACATCAATACGTGTGAATTTAATTTTTTAGTTTGTTTGATTTGTTTTAGTTTTTAAAAATAGTTTTATAAATCATTTTTTTAAATAAATTAGAATCTCCTTTTATATTTATGATTTGAAAATTGTTTAGAAATAAAAATATGATATCAATGAGTGATAAAGAGTCAGTAAAACAATAAAAAAAATGATTTTAATAACTTAGATTCTGATTATTGATGAAAAATACAAATATCATTATTAGAAGTAAAAATATAAAAATAGAAAACGTCTTTTATTTAGTTTTTTTTTCCAAATAAGTTTAAATATTCATTTTGAAAATTTATTTTTAAAAAATAGATTGGAAACAAATTTTTTTAATAAATTAAATTTAAAAACTGTTTTAAATAAAAGAGAATGGCATCAACAATGATAAAAATTGTGTAAGTTGAAAACTTTAGATTATATATGGTGATAATGATTGATGAAATCATACATATCATTAATAAAAATAGAAAACTAAAGATTTATTGGATTTTATTTATTTTTAAATTGTAAAAACAATGTTAGATATCAGTTTTGAAAAATTACTTTTTAAAATAAGTTAAAAATCTTGCTAATTTTAATTTTAAAAACTATTTTAAATAAAATGACAAACATCAGCCACCAAAAGTAGAAAACTATTTTAATAATTTTATGATATATAGTGTAATTATTTTTTTAAAACATTAATATTATTAATAACAACAAAAAATATAAAACTTGTTTATTGTTTTTAAAAATAGGTTTCAATATTTTAATTTTTAAAACTAAAAAACTTTCTTGATGATTTATAATTAAAATAATTTTAAAAAAATGATGTGATTGTTTAATTTTGAAACTGAAAAATGAAATTTTTAAAAAAGTATTTTATTGTTTCCTCCCTTCTTAAAATATATAATAATTTTTTTTAGGTTTCATTAATAATAAAATTATAAATATTTAAAAATTAAAATTAAAATATTTTATAATATGTTTTATATCTTTTTAAAATGAGTTTAATATTTAAATTTTTTTACTAAAAGTGTATTTAAAAACTGAAAAACA